TGGGCGCGACATTCTCAGTCAGGTACCCCACTCTTCTGACACCAATTGCAAAGACGCCGACACGTTGGAACTTTGAAGCGCCTTTATTTGGTTACAGCACTCCCTAGACTTGTCCTTGTCTTGGACTGCCGTCTTCACTCGAATGTACCCTCCCCTTGTGCTCTCCCCTTTCATTTCCCCTCGCCTTCTTTCTCGAACCTTCCCTCACCCCACTCTCCTCATCCAATCCTCGTCCTTTTCCCCCAACGGTTGTCAACCGTCGTCTTTACAGTCTACCTTTGCTTCCCGCCTTTTCCAATTAAAATCTCCCCCCAAATCCATTTGAATCTTGCCTCCCGACCAATCACTCTGGAGGCCTCTCTCTGCCAATCGGAGGCCTTGTCCTACTTACTGGTAGTCTGTTTACTTCGCGTGAGTGATCTGGAATTTCGGTCATTACACAAAGACAAAGCTTCTCCCCGTATGGCACTGGCAGGCTGTAGGAGCAAGTGCTGTTAACGGTGCACCTATGAAGGCCGGCACGGCACACAAATGGATGGGTGGCCAGCACCACGCCCGACCGCCTTTGTCCCCCTAGTGACGATGTTTACACGTCGCACCAGGTACTCATTTGAGGCTGAGTCGACATAGGGGAGGCCCAGAACCGGTTCAGATAGTCGTCACCGGTGTTGGTCGTGAGCGGGAATCGAACCCAGGTTGCTGGGTTCGGAGCGCAGCGCGCCAACACCACCGCTGACCACGATTTGTATCACACACAACAGCAGCAATCATTGCCCCCTACTGGTAGCAGAGTGATGCCTCAGGTGACCTTTGCAAATATATATTTAGACTTTTTTTTACAAGTTAATGCCCACTGAGCTCTATAGCTATCTTTTTTTAGAAGCGAACTGGCCATCACAAATTATAGCTCAACAAGGTGGGCTATCATCACTTGCGGATTGTTTAGCAGCCACATACTGGACAGGCGTCGACGTTGATTCTAAATGTATCGGGGGAACATCGGAGGACCCGGAGAGAGAGAGAGACACCGTTAACACCAAATATACAGCAGCAGCAGGCGTCAGGGTCGGCATCGAACCCACGACCTCTTGCATCCCAGGCGAGGTAGTTAACATCTCGTTTGTCTTTGTATCTTAGTCTATATCTGTAGTCCCGCACAATGAGCGGCATCATTGACGCTCTCCTGCAGCGCTCATTGCAATGGGATGCATCGCGACTCAGCCGCTTCACCACCATCACCACCAGGTGACGCTCATCTCCCGTGACAGCGCTCAGCCACACCTGGACATTCCACATTCCTATGGCCGGGGAGGGTCATTAGGACGACAACGTTTGGATTCCTACGAGGCGGGAACCAATTTTATCGACCATCAGAGGGAGATGGGCTTTGTGCTGATGCGTTGTCCAAGGTTGTGTTCGTTCAATATCCGTGCGTATTCAACTACGGTACACTACATGCGATATTTAAACACAATACACTCTGACACACTTTGTTTCGTGTGCTCGTCTTGTGTTCCGTTTTCGGGGGATTCATCGCGTAAAGATAAATGTGTCGTTGAACCCGCCACCCGCTCTCGACATTTACAATGGTAAATGTTGTGGGTTTACTCTCCAACACGTGCTGAACTAGTAACTTTTAAGAAACAAACTGTACTAATTGGCAGTGTCGGGTGGTGGCGAGTTTAACGACACATTTATATTTACGCTATCTAACCCCCAACAAAAACCTCTTGTGGATAACATCGGTCGCGAAAGCCTCCTACTACGTATTACGTTGAATATGTATTGTACTTTCTAATTACTTTAATGCACTTCATCATCAGCAGCAGCAGCCATGTTCTATCCACTGATGGATGAAAGCCTCCACACATCGACACCGTGACTCTTGGTGTTGGAGCGTCGCACTCCATCTCACTCCATCTCACTCCTGCTCAGAAGGGGATCCCCGGCGCTCCATCTCCGCCGTGGTAGTGATCTTGGCTGGGCGTTTAGCTGCCGTTACTTCCCCAGTCTCACCCGAAGCGCCGCGGTGACGAGGAGATGTTGACTACCTCGCCTGGTATGCAGGAGGTTGTGGGTTCGATCCCGACCCTGACGCCTGCTGCTGCTGTATATTTGGAGTTTACGGTGTCTCTCTCCCCGTGGTCGCGTGGATTTTTCTCCAGATCCTCTGGTTTTTCGCTCCACATTTAGAATCAACACGCGTTTAGAGTATTTGGTTGCTATACATTTCCACATGATATGCCACGTCGTTGAGCTATCATTTGTGACCAGGTCGCTTCTAAAAAAGAACTACATAGCTCAGTGGACCTTACCTGGTAAAATAAAAAAATTATTTTATAGTTTAAGTTTAATGGATCATCATCATCATCATCACGCGACTTCTCAAAGGTTCACCCGCTCTGAGTCGTCTGTTTCCGTTCTCCACCTCGGCTCACTTCCCACCCTGCCCGCTCTTCCCACCCTGCCCGCTGTGCAGGTCGTGTCTGGCTTTCTCTGCCGCTGTCCCAGTCCCCGATCCGCGTACGCGCAGCTGATCCGCACGCGCCGATTGGAACACTCTCGGAGTGAAGTCATCTTTCATCGTGACACATCAACGCGGCAATGCGTGCTCCGATGACAGAGTTTACCTAGCACTTGTCCCATCATGTGCGTAGGAATGTCTCGCATTCCCACACGCGTGTCCACTGTTGTTAGGGCACGGCATGTCGTTGTTTATCGGTGAGCCTGGGGGTTATTTGAGGTTTTATTTCTGCCACGAGATGGCGGTTCACAAAGTGTCGTCGCGAAGCCCCAAGGGATCGCAGTGGACGACTCTTGACAAGAAAACACGAGCGTTGTGCAGCGAGTGCAAAGGTCAATCTCAAGCCGTGGATCACTTATTTACCAGATTGCTGCCAGTAAGCGCATCGCAGAGACGGCGCTTGGCTAAAGTTTCATTCGGGTGTACGCATCTTCTCGCGTGACCCACTCTGGGGAGGTTCAGAGGTCAACCGCGCTGACTTATTGAGTGTCGGGCAGACAGCTGGGATGATGGAACACACGGAGAGCCACCACGTCCGTCCGGTGCTCGCCCAGCTGCACCGGCTCCCCGGTGTGCCGGACGACTCGCATCGTCAGAAGATCGGCGCTCGTCGCGCACGAAGCGCTCGTCACGAATGGAGCGCGACACGTCGCTGATCCCGTCAAGGAGCAACAAGCCACCATCACGTCGCCTCCCTCCCGTCACCGTCGCTGCGGCGGCAGCTGCTTCGGGCTGCTGCCGTCGGACAAAGACGGCGGTCGCCGCGTCGACGCAGCGGCGCTTTCGGATGCGCTTTCTGCGGCCGTCTGGAACGCTCTTCACTTCCGACGTTAGGAAGCCGCTTGTAAATATAGGTTGAATACTAATTTCTTTAGAACCGTTTTTTGTGTGTGTTTAGTGTTGTTGTCCTTCCCCGCACTGCCAATTAGCACGGTTGGCTACGTACGGTACGAGAGAAGTTCAACATACATACTCGGAAATACACTTCTGCTGGAAGTTGACACAGCTCATCATCACTTCCTCCGGGGTTGATAAAATATTATCACTTTGTGGGGGTCAACAGTGTTTGCCCTATGTATTGGTGTTACCCTGCCATACGCGCGTGGAACTTCCACCACTCAGGACTGTAAACGGAAGTTGGGCACTACCTTAATGCTCATTCGGCAGATAATCACTTCGACTTTTTTTACTTCGATGCAACAAACGAAACGGAATTTCAAAAGTTTCGGATCTCCCCTGTAGCCGTATCGCAAGTGCTGTTAGCGAGCGCCTATTCAGACCCTAACAGTGCATGAAGGAGCGTGGGGGGGGGGGTAGCAAGCACCACGCCCGGCCACATTTATCTCCCCGCTACTCTTGATTACACCAAAAACCGCACCCAGGGATGAATGAAAGGCTGAGTCAACCCACGCGGTGTTCTCGGGACAACTTCTGATACTCGCTTGCCGCTGGAGTCACACACCCACAGCTGGGAGTCCAACCCAGGTGGGCGGCAGTAGAAGGGGCAGTGCGTTTAGCCGCTGTGCCAACGCGAGCCCGGACAGTTCGCAAAGACAAAGACCCCCCCCCCCGCGTGTAGCCCACACAGGCTGTTGGGGGAAGCACTGTTAGTAAGCACCTATGAAGGCCGGCACGGCACGCGATGTTTGCACATCGCACCAGGTACTCATTTGAGGTTGAGTTGACCTAGGGGAGGCCTCGGGCCGGTTCAGATCATCGTCACAGGTGTTGGTGGCCGTGAGCGGGAATCGAACTCGGGTCGCCGTGTTCGTAGCGCGGCGTAACGCTAACCGCTACTCCACCGCTCCAAACACACCGACACACACACTGACACACACCGACACACACACACTGACACAAACAAACACACACACCGACACAAACACACACACACCGACACAAACACACACACACTGACACACACACCGACGCACACACACACACCGACACACACACTGACACACACACACACTGACACACACACACACTGACACACACACACACTGACACACACACACACCGACACACACCGACACACACACACACCGACACACACACACACCGACACACACACACACCGACACACACACACACTGACACACACACACCGACACACACACACACTGACACACACACACCGACACACACACACACTGACACACACACACACACACCGACACACACACACCGACACACACACACCGACACACACACCGACACAAACACACACACAAACACCGACACACACACTGACACACACACACTGACACACACACACTGACACACACACACTGACACAAACATACAAAGATAAAGATCCCCCGTATAGCCTGACCAGACTGTAGGGGCAAGTGCTGTTAGCGAGCACCTATGAAGGCCGGAACGGTACACGAGGGGGTGGGTGGCCAGCACCACGCCCGACCGCCTTTGTCTCCCTAGTGGCGATGTTTACACACCGAACCAGGTACTCATTTAAGGCTGAGTCGACCTAGGGGAGGCCCAGGACCGGTTCAGATAATCGTCACTGGTGTTAGCCGTGAGCGGGAATCGAACCCGGGTCGCCAGGTTCATAGCGCAGCGCGCTAACCGCTACACTACCGCTCCCCACACAAACATACACACACACCGACACAAACACACACACACCGACACACACACACCGACACACACACCGACGCACACACACACACTGACACACACACCGACACACACACACCGACGCACACACACACACTGACACACACACCGACACACACACACACACACTGACACACACACCGACACAAACACACACACACCGACACACACACAGGCGCGCGTGAAAAGTATCGCAGCGCCGATGAATTTGGATGCACACCGCATCCATTCGCGCCCACCCGCGATTTCACAAAGGGAAATGCTGCGGCTTCTTCACCCAAAACGCCACGAGGCAACAGCAGAGAGAGGGGGGAGGGGGGAGCCACCTCGTAAAGGGGACGCGTCGCGTGATGGGAGGTTTTGACACCGGGGCTACAACAGTTCCTTGAGAATCTCGCCTGGAGGGGGGTCGCTGTTTGTGTTTATTCAGTAGGAGCAGGGCATCTCTGGGGCACGCCACTCGCTCGGCTCAACACCCCCACCCCCCCTCTTTGTCTCTGGCCACATGCGCCGTGGCGGACGCGAGGACAGCGATCCGTAGTCTGCCACAGTAAGCGGAGCTCTTCTCGCACGGGGGCAGCTGGTGGGGTGGACGACACGAGGTAGGGTGGACACCACGTGGTGGGGTGGACGACACGCGCCATGTACGGCATGGACTGCTACCTCGCTCTGCGCACGGCCGCCAGCGGAGCCCTCGCGCACGGAGCGGGTAACGACTCCCACCCCAACTACTACCACCCCGAAACACTCCTCACACTCCACACACTCACCAACACTCCATACACTCCACACACTCCACACTCCATACACTCCACACTCCACACACTCCTCACTCACCAACACTCCACACACTCCTCACTCACCAACACTCCACACACTCCACACACTCCACACTCACCAACACTCCTCACTCACCAACACTCCACACACTCCACACACTCCACACTCACCAACACTCCTCACTCACCAACACTCCACACACTCCTCACTCACCAACACTCCACACACTCCACACTCACCAACACTCCACACACTCTCCACACACTCCACACTCCACACACTCCACACTCACCAACACTCCTCACTCACCAACACTCCACACACTCCTCACTCACCAACACTCCACACACTCCTCACTCACCAACACTCCACACACTCCTCACTCACCAACACTCCACACACTCCACACTCACCAACACTCCTCACTCACCAACACTCCACACACTCCTCACTCACCAACACTCCACACACTCCTCACTCACCAACACTCCACACACTCCACACACTCCACACTCCACACACTCCACACTCACCAACACTCCTCACTCACCAACACTCCACACACTCCTCACTCACCAACACTCCATACACTCCTCACTCACCAACACTCCACACACTCCACACTCACCAACACTCCACACACTCCACACTCACCAACACTCCATACACTCCTCACTCACCAACACTCCACACACTCCACACTTACCAACACCCCACACTCACCAACACTCCACACACTCCTCACTCACCAACACTCCACACTCTCCACGCACTCCACACTCCACACACTCCACACTCCTCACCAAGATTCCACACACTCCTCACTCACCAACACTCCACACTCTCCACACACTCCACACTCCACACACTCCTCACTCACCAACATTCCACACACTCCACACACTCCACACTCACCAACATTCCACACTCACCAACATTCCACACACTCCACACACTCCACACTCACCAACACTCCACACACTCACCAACACTCCACACACCACACACTCCACACTCTCCACACTCCACACACTCCTCACTCACCAACATTCCACAAACTCTACACAATCCACACTCACCAACACTCCACACACTCACTAACACTCCACACACCAACACTCCACACTCCACGGCGCCCCGGTGACTAGGCAGTCGAGCGAGTTCTAATCCCAGGTTGACTCAACCCATCATCTCTCCCTCAAGGAGAGATAAACTAAGCACCGCCTATGGAAAAAACTCGCCCTCCCCGCCATAAGAATGTAGAATTTCCACCACCGGTTGTGAACGGGAATTGTGCACTCGTGTGACGCTGCGCTCCGCCGTCAGCGCGTGGCCCTGGCGGGCTGCCGGGGCGAGCGCCGCGGCGCACAAGGGGGTAGCGTGACCGGCACCACGCCCGGCCGTCTTTGCTTCCCCAATGGCGATGGACACACACCGCGCCGGGCACTCGTTTAAGGCTGAGTCGACCTAAGACAAGGCCCAGGGAGAACGGTTTAGATATTCGCCGTCACCGCTGTTGGCCATGAGCGGGAACCGAACCCGGGTCGCCGGCTTCGCAGCGCAGCTGAGCCCCGCCCGCTGCGCGCGGCGCGCGTGTGTGGCGGCAGTGTAGCGGTCGGCGCTACGCTGCGCTACGAACCCGGCGGCCCGGGTTCGATTCCCGCTCACGGCCAGCACGAGTGACGATTATCTGCACCGGTCCTGGACCTCTCACGGTGGGGCGAGCCACGGTGGCTATGCGATGTTAACTCCCTCGCCTGGTATACAGGAGGTCGTGGGTTCGGTCCTCACCCTGACGCCTGTCCATGAGGATTCTGCCTCTTCCTCTCCTCTCCCCGTGGTCGCGTGGATTTTTCTGCGGGTCCTGCGGTTTTTCCCTTCCACATTTAGAAACGTGCATTTCGAGTATTTGGTTGCTATAAATGTCATCGTGATGAGCCACTTTGGTGGGCTATCACGCCAGGTCGCGTCTGAAAAGGAGCGACACAGCTCAGCGGGCCTTACCTGGCGGAATGAAGACAATAGTTACATCGTAGTAACCGCCCCCTCGTGTAGCCGTGCCCGATTTCATCGGTCGCAGCACTTGCCCCAACAGCGCGTTGAAGGTTCTACGGGGATCTGTGTCTCTGGTACAGGCAACGTGTCCCGAGGCTCGGAAGTGGACTGCTTGAATGTGGAGGCCGATGGGAGTGTCCTCTACTCATTCAAGACGAGGCACTTGCGCCAGCAGGTGGGCATGTTCACCTCGACCTTCATGTTCACCTCGACATTCATTGTTCACCTCGACATTCATTGTTCACCTCGACATTCATGTTCACCTCGACATTCATTGTTCACCTCGACATTCATGTTCACCTCGACATTCATTGTTCACCTCGACATTCATTGTTCACCTCGACATTCATTGTTCACCTCGACATTCATTGTTCACCTCGACATTCATTGTTCACCTCGACATTCATTGTTCACCTCGACATTCATTGTTCACCTCGACATTCATTGTTCACCTCGACATTCATTGTTCCCCTCGACATTCATGTTCACCTCGACATTCATTGTTCACCTCGACATTCATTGTGCCACCGCGACATCATTGTCACCTCGACATTCATGTTCACCTCGACAGTCATTGTTCACCCTCGACATCAGTGGTCACCCTCGACATTCATTGTTCACCTCGACATTCATGTTCACCTCGACATTCATTGTTCCACCTCGACATTCATTGTTCCCTCGGACATTCATTGTTCACACTCGGGGTGGGGACATTCATTGTTTCACCTTCGGACCATTCAATGGTTCACCTCGGACAATTTCATTGTTCACCTCGACATTCATTGTTCACCTCGGACATTCCTTGTTCACCTCGACATTCAATTGTTGCACCTCGACATTCAGTTCACCCTCGACATTCATTGTTCACCTCGACATTCATTGTACCTCGACATTCATTGTTCACCTCGACATTCATTGTTCCACCTCGACATTCATGTTCACCACCCTCGACATTCATTGTTCACCTCGACATGCATTGTTCACTCTGGACATTCATTGTTTCAACCTCGACATTCATTGTTCACCGTCGACATTTCATTGTTCACCTCGACATTCATTGTTCACCCTCGACATTCATTGTCACCTCCGACATTCTTGTTCACCTCGACATTCATTGTTCACCTCGACATTCATTGTTCACCTCGACATTCATTGTTCACCTCGACATTCATTGTTCACCTCGACATTCATTGTTCACCTCGACATTCAATGTTCACCTCGACATTCATTGTTCACCTCGACATTCATTGTTCACCTCGACATTCATTGTTCACAACCTCGACATTCATTGTTCACCTCGACATTCATGTTCACCTCGACATTCATTGTTCACCTCGACATGTCATTGTTCACCTCGACATTCATTGTTCACCTCGACATTCATTGTTCACCTCGACATTCAATTGTTCACCTCGACATCATTGTTCACCTCGACATTCAATTGTTCACCTCGACATTCATTGTTCACCTCGACATTCATTGTTCACCTCGACATTCATGTTCACCTCGACATTCAATTGTTCACCTCGACATTCATTGTTCACCTCGACAATTCATTGTTCACACTCGACATTCATTGTTCACCTCGACATTCATTGTTCACCTCGACATTCATGTTCACCTCGACATTCATTGTTCACCTCGACATTCATTGTTCACCTCGACATTCATTGTTCACCTCGACATTCATTGTTCACCTCGACATTCATGTTGCACCTCGACATTCATTGTTCACCTCGACATTCATTGTTCACCTCGACATTCATTGTTCACCTCGACATTCATTGTTCACCTCGACATTCATTGTTCACCTCGACATTCAATTGTTCACCTCGACATTCATTGTTCACCTCGACATTCATTGTTCACCTCGACATTCATTGTTCACCTCGACATTCATTGTTCACCTCGACATTCATTGTTCACCTCGACATTCATTGTTCACCTCGACATTCATGTTCACCTCGACATTCATTGTTCCTCGACATCATTGTTCACCTCGACATTCATTGTTCACCTCGACATTCATTGTTCACCTCGACATTCATTGTTCACCTCGACATTCAGTGTTCACCTCGACATTCATTGTTCACCTCGACATTCATTGTTCACCTCGACATTCATTGTTCACCTCGACATTCATTGTTCACCTCGACATTCATTGTTCACCTCGACATGTTCACCTCGACATTCATGTTCACCTCGACATTCATTGTTCACCTCGACATTCATTGTTCACCTCGACATTCATTGTTCACCTCGACATTCATTGTTCACCTCGACATTCATTGTTCACCTCGACATTCATTGTTCACCTCGACTTCATTGTTCACCTCGACATTCATGTTCACCTCGACATTCATTGTTCACCTCGACAGTCATTGTTCACCTCGACATTCATTGTTCCCTCGACATTCATTGTTCACCTCGACATTCATTGTTCACCTCGACATTCATTGTTTCACCTCGACATTCATGTTACACCTCGACATTCATGTTCACCTCGACATTCATTGTTCACCTCGACTTCATTGTTCACCTCGACATTCATTGGTTCACCTCGACATTCATTGTTCACCTCGACATTCATTGTTCACCTCGACATTCATTGTTCACCTCGACATTCATTGTTCACCTCGACATTCATTGTTCACCTCGACATTCATTGTTCACCTCGACTTCTTGTTCACCTCGACATTCATTGTTCACCTCGACATTCATTGTTCACCTCGACATTCATTGTTCACCTCGACATTCATTGTTCACCTCGACATTCATTGTGCACCTCGACATTCATGTTCACCTCGACAGTCATTGTTCACCTCGACATTCATTGTTCACCTCGACCATTCATTGTTCACCTCGACATTCATGTTCACCTCGACATTCATTGTTCACCTCGACATTCATTGTTCACCTCGACATTCATTGTTCACCTCGACATTCATTGTTCACCTCGACATTCATTGTTCACCTCGACATTCATTGTTCACCTCGACATTCATTGTTCACCTCGACATTCATGTTCACCTCGACATTCATTGTTCACCTCGACATTCATTGTTCACCTCGACATTCATGTTCATCTCGACATTCATTGTTCACCTCGACATTCATGTTCACCTCGACATTCATTGTTCACCTCGACATTCATTGTTCACCTCGACATTCATTGTTCACCTCGACATTCATTGTTCACCTCGACATTCATTGTTCACCTCGACATTCATTGTTCACCTCGACATTCATTGTTCACCTCGACATTCATTGTTCACCTCGACATTCATTGTTCACCTCGACATTCATTGTTCACCTCGACATTCATTGTTCACCTCGACATTCATTGTTCACCTCGACATTCATTGTTCACCTCGACATTCATTGTTCACCTCGACATTCATTGTTCACCTCGACATTCATTGTTCACCTCGACATTCATTGTTCACCTCGACATTCATTGTTCACCTCGACATTCATTGTTCACCTCGACATTCATTTGTTCACCTCGACATTCATTGTTCACCTCGACATTCATTGTTCACCTCGACATTCATTGTTCACCTCGACATTCATTGTTCACCTCGACATTCATTGTTCACCTCGACATTCATTGTTCACCTCGACATTCATTGTCACCTCGACATTCATTGTTCACCTCGACAATTCAATTGTTCACCTCGACATTCATTGTTCACCTCGACATTCATTGTTTCACCTCGACATTCATTGTTCACCTCGACATTCATTGTTCACCTCGACATTCATTGTTCACCTCGACATTCATGTTCACACTCGACATTCATTGTTCACCTCGACATTCATTGTTCACCTCGACATTCATTGTTCACCTCGACATTCATTGTTCACCTCGACATTCATTGTTCACCTCGACATTCAGTGGCACCTCGACATTCATGTTCACCTCGACATTCATTGTTCACCTCGACATTCATTGTTCACCTCGACATTCATTGTTCACCTCGACATTCATTGTTCACCTCGACATTCATTGTTCACCTCGACATTCATTGTTCACCTCGACATTCATTGTTCACCTCGACATTCATTGTTCACCTCGACATTCATTGTTCACCTCGACATTCATTGTTCACCTCGACATTCATTGTTCACCTCGACATTCATTGTTCACCTCGACATTCATTGTTCACCTCGACATTCATTGTTCACCTCGACATTCATTGTTCACCTCGACATTCATTGTTCACCTCGACATTCATTGTTCACCTCGACATTCATTGTTCACCTCGACATTCATTGTTCACCTCGACATTCATTGTTCACCTCGACATTCATTGTTCACCTCGACATTCATTGTTCACCTCGACATTCATTGTTCACCTCGACATTCATTGTTCACCTCGACATTCATTGTTCACCTCGACATTCATGTTCACCTCGACATTCATTGTTCACCTCGACATTCATTGTTCACCTCGGACAATTCATTGTTCACCTCGACATTCAATGTTCACCTCGACATTCATTGTTCACCTCGACATTCATTGTTCACCTCGACATTCATTGTTCACCTCGACATTCATTGTTCACCTCGACATCATGTCACCTCGACATTCATGTTCACCTCGACATTCATTGTTCACCTCGACATTCATTGTTCACCTCGACATTCATTGTCACACTCGACATTCATTGTTCACCTCGACATTCATTGTTCACCTCGACATTCATTGTTACCTCGACATTCACTTGTTCACCTCGACATTCATTGTTCACCTCGACTTCATTGTTCACCTCGACATTCATTGTTCACCTCGACATTCATTGTTCACCTCGACATTCATGTGCACCTCGACATCATTGTTCACCTCGACATTCATGTTCACCTCGACATTCATTGTTCACCTCGACATTCATTGTTCACCTCGACATTCATTGTTCACCTCGACATTCATGTTCACCTCGACATTCATTGTTCACCTCGACATTCATTGTTCACCTCGACATTCAATTGTTCACTCACCCGACATTCATTGTTCACCTCGACATTCATTGTTCACCTCGACATTCATGTTCACCTCGACATTCATTGTTCACCTCGACATTCATTGTTCACCTCGACATTCATTGTTCACCTCGACATTCATTGTTCACCTCGACATTCATTGTTCACCTCGACATTCATTGTTCACCTCGACATTCATTGTTCACCTCGACATTCATGTTCACCTCGACATTCATGTTCACCTCGACATTCATTGTTCACCTCGACATTCATTGTTCACCTCGACATTCATTGTTCACCTCGACATTCATTGTTCACCTCGACATTCATTGTTCACCTCGACATTCATTGTTCACCTCGACATTCATTGTTCACCTCGACATTCATTGTTCACCTCGACATTCATTTGTTCACCTCGACATTCATTGTTCACCTCGACATTCATGTTCACCTCGACATCATTCATTGTTCACCTCGACATTCATTGTTCACCTCGACATTCATGTTCACCTCGACATTCATTGTTCACCTCGACATTCATTGTTCACCTCGACATTCATTGTTCACCTCGACATTCATGTTCACCTCGACATTCATTGTTCACCTCGACATTCATTGTTCACCTCGACATTCATTGTTCACCTCGACATTCATTGTTCACCTCGACATTCATTGTTCACCTCGACATTCATTGTTCACCTCGACATTCATTGTTCACCTCGACATTCATTGTTCACCTCGACATTCATGTTCACCTCGACATTCATGTTCACCTCGACATTCATTGTTCACCTCGACATTCATTGTTCACCTCGACATTCATTGTTCACCTCGACATTCATGTTCACCTCGACATTCATGTTCACCTCGACATTCATTGTTCACCTCGACATTCATTGTTCACCTCGACATTCATGTTCACCTCGACATTCATTGTTCACCTCGACATTCATGTTCACCTCGACATTCATTGTTCACCTCGACATTCATTGTTCACCTCGACATTCATTGTTCACCTCGACATTCATTGTTCACCTCGACATTCATTGTTCACCTCGACATTCAATGTTCACCTCGACATTCATTGTTCACCTCGACATTCATTGTTCACCTCGACATTCATTGTTCACCTCGACATTCATTGTTCACCTCGACATTCATTGTTCACCTCGACATTCATTGTTCACCTCGACATTCATTGTTCACCTCGACATTCATGTTCACCTCGACATTCATTGTTCACCTCGACATTCATTGTTCACCTCGACATTCATTGTTCACCTCGACATTCATTGTTCACCTCGACATTCATGTTCACCTCGACATTCATTGTTCACCTCGACATTCATGTTCACCTCGACATTCATGTTCACCTCGACATCATTGTTCACCTCGACATTCATTGTTCACCTCGACATTCATTGTTCACCTCGACATTCATTGTTCCCTCGACATTCATTGTTCACCTCGACATTCATTGTTCACCTCGACATTCAATGTTCACCTCGACATTCATTGTTCACCTCGACATTCATTGTTCACCTCGACATTCATTGTTCACCTCGACATTCATTGTCACCTCGACATTCATTGTTCACCTCGACATTCATTGTTCACCTCGACATTCATTGTTCACCTCGACATTCATGTTCACCTCGACATTCATTGTTCACCTCGACATTCATTGTTCACTCTCGACATTCATTGTTCACCTCGACATTCATTGTTCACCTCGACATTCATTGTCACACTCGACATTCATTTCACCTCGACATTCATTGTTCACCTCGACATTCATTGTTCACCTCGACATTCATTGTTCACCTCGACATTCATTGTTCACCTCGACATTCATGTTCACCTCGACATTCATTGTTGCACCTCGACATTCAATGTTCACCTCGACATTCATTGTTCACCTCGACATTCATTGTTCACCTTCGACATTCATGTTCACTCGACATTCATTGTTCACCTCGACATTCATTGTTCACCTCGACATTCATTGTTCACCTCGACATTCAATGTTCACCTCGACATTCATTGTTCACCTCGACATTCATTGTTCACCTCGACATTCAATTGTTCACCTCGACATTCATTGTTTCACCTCGACATTCATTGTTCACCTCGACATTCATTGTTCACCTCGACATTCATTGTTCACCTCGACATTCATTGTTCACCTCGACATTCATTGTTCACCTCGACATTCATTGTTCACCTCGACATTCATTGTTCACCTCGACATTCATGTTCACCTCGACATTCATTGTTCACCTCGACATTCATTGTTCACCTCGACATTCATTGTTCACCTCGACATTCATTGTTCACCTCGACATTCATTGTTCACCTCGACATTCATTGTTCACCTCGACATTCATGTTCACCTCGACATTCATGTTCACCTCGACATTCATTGTTCACCTCGACATTCATTGTTCACCTCGACATTCATTGTTCACCTCGACATTCATTGTTCACCTCGACATTCATTGTTCACCTCGACATTCATTGTTCACCTCGACATTCATTGTTCACCTCGACATTCATTGTTCACCTCGACATTCATTGTTCACCTCGACATTCATTGTTCACCTCGACATTCATTGTTCACCTCGACATTCATTGTTCACCTCGACATTCATTGTTCACCTCGACATTCATTGTTCACCTCGACATTCATTGTTCACCTCGACATTCATTGTTCACCTCGACATTCATTGTTCACCTCGACATTCATGTTCACCTCGACATTCATTGTTCACCTCGACATTCATTGTTCACCTCGACATTCATTGTTCACCTCGACATTCATTGTTCACCTCGACATTCATTGTTCACCTCGACATTCATTGTTCACCTCGACATTCATTGTTCACCTCGACATTCATTGTTCACCTCGACATTCATTGTTCACCTCGACATTCAATGTTCACCTCGACATTCATTGTTCACCTCGACATTCATTGTTCACCTCGACATTCATTGTTCACCTCGACATTCATTGTTCACCTCGACATTCATTGTTCACCTCGACATTCATTGTTCACCTCGACATTCATTGTTCACCTCGACATTCAATGTTCACCTCGACATTCATTGTTCACCTCGACATGAAATGGCGCCCCTCACAGCTGGCGCCTCTCGCTCTCACGGCGCGTGCTCGATGCTCACGTGAGCAGGACATCTCAGGGACATCTCCGTCGATGTTTTGTGTCGGTACTGTTTTGGCTTTCTGCTGGATTTTTCTCAACGCAGCTTTTTCGTTGAATGCTGTGAATGGCCACTCGAATCCCATTTGACTTCAGATCTCCGGCAAGAAGGTTTGCTGCATCGCTCTGTACGACGCCAAGAGCAAGGAAAACAAGGTGACCCGACCACATTAACACGGATCATTCACACGGGCCATAATACACGGATCATTGGCATAGGTCATTCGCGTATGTCGTTAACATTCACCACTAAACATGACCCCGATCACGTAGATGGCACTCGATTGGCATGCGGCGACGGTAACATCGCAGCGGTTGTCAGCCGACTGTTGGGGATGGGAGGGCCGTTGTGCGTGTACGGTGGGGGGTGAAGTGCGCTACGAACCCGGTCACCCGAGTTCCCGCTCACGGTCACCAACACCGGTGACGATTATTTGAACATCTCTTGGGCCCTCCCCTAGGCAGACTCGGCCTGAAATGAGTACGTTCACCGCTGTGTGGCCCTCGTGTGCCGTGCGGGCCTTCATAGGTGCAACTCGCTAACAGAACTTGCCCCAACAGTCTGTTAAGGCTACACGGGGGATCTTTGTCTTGGGGGGGGGGGTGGGGCGTGAGACTGGGATCGCACCTCGGACACGACTGAGCGCTGCGTTCCATTTCTGCCCGTCGCCAGGTCCTGCACGCGCTCGAGGGAGGAGGAGGAGGGGACGTCCTGAGCGGCTCCGTGAACGCGCGGCACTCGCTGCTCGGTGCGTGCGCACTGCGTTGCCCTCTGCAGCATCTTTTCGCCACGCGCGTGTGTGACTGTGTGTGTGTGACTGTGTGTGTGTGACTGTGTGTGTGTGACTGTGTGTTTGTGACTGTGTGTGTGACTGTGTGTGTGTGACTGTGTGTGTGTGACTGTGTGTGTGACTGTGTGTGTATAACTGTGTGTGTGACTGTGTGTGTATAACTAGGCTGGATTGTGTGAGGAGCTCACAAATCCTTGAAAGATCTGGGCAAAGTCCCATCAGTGAGCTCCTCCGGCAGGCAAGGCTGCGTTGGCTGGGTCATGTAGCCCGCATGCCCAGCCACCGCATGCCTAAACAGCTTTTGTTCGGCCGGATCGAGGGGGCTAGACGGGCGCGGCACGGGCTGGAGAAGAGATGGAGTGATGTGGTACAGGAGGACGTGGAGCTGAGTGGACTTGCCGATGACTGGTACCAGCGGTGTCAAGATCGGCCTCAGTGGAGGAGGCTCGTGAAGGACGCTACTGGGCAGTTGGAGGCAGTCGCCCTCCAACAACAACGGAGGGCGGAGGAGCGACGCTCACAACAACGAGCAGAGCGCCGGGTGGCTAAAGCACAGCAAGTTGGCACAGTAGGGGGCACAGGTGGTGCATCAGCCAGTCATCTCGGTCATCTCGGTCAGTCGACCAGTGGCACCTGCTGGGTCTGCCCCGTGACCTCCTGCCAGCGGGCTTTCGACACTTCACGTGGCCTCAAGGTGCACTTGGCCTGGCACAAGCATCGTGGTGACGTCACCGCCACTTAGTGGCGAATGGCGGTTGTTGTTGTTGTTGTATAACTATGTGTGTGTGACTGTGTGTGTGTGACTGTGTGTGTGTGACTGTGTGTGTATAACTGTGTGTATATGACTGTGTGTGTGTGTGACTGTGTGTGTGTGACTGTGTGTTTGTGACTGTGTGTGTGACTGTGTGTGTGTGACTGTGTGTGTGTGACTGTGTGTGTGTGACTGTGTGTGTATAACTGTGTGTGTGTGACTGTGTGTGTGTGACTGTGTGTGTGTGACTGTGTGTGTGTAACTGTGTGTGTGTCACTGTGTGTGTGTGTGACTGTGTGTGTGTGTGACTGTGTGTGTGTGACTGTGTGTATAACTGTGTGTGTGTGACTGTGTGTGTGTGACTGTGTGTGTGTGACTGTGTGTGTGTGACTGTGTGTGTATAACTGTGTGTGTGTGACTGTGTGTGTGACTATGTGTGTGTGACTGTGTGTGTGTGACTGTGTGTTGTGTGTGTGTGACTGTGTGTGTGTGACTGTGTGTGTGACTGTGTGTGTATAACTGTGTGTGTGTGACTGTATGTGTGTGACTGTGTGTGTGACTGTGTGTGTGTGACTGTGTGTGTATAACTGTGTGTGTGTGACTGTGTGTGTGTGACTGTGTGTGTATAACTGTGTGTGTGTGTGACTGTGTGTGTGACTGTGTGTGTGTGACTGTGTGTGTGTGACTGTGTGTGTGACTGTGTGTGTGTGACTGTGTGTGTGTGACTGTGTGTGTGTGACTGTGTGTATAACTGTGTGTGTGTGACTGTGTGTGTGTGACTGTGTGTGTGTGACTGTGTGTGTGTGTGACTGTGTGTGTGTGACTGTGTGTGTGTGACTGTGTGTGTGTGACTGTGTGTGTGACTGTGTGTGTGTGACTGTGTGTGCGTGACTGTGTGTGCGTGACTGTGTGTGCGTGACTGTGTGTGTGACTGTGTGTGCATAACTGTGTGTGTGTGACTGTGTGTGACTGTGTGTGTGTGACTGTGTGTGTGTGACTGTGTGTGTGACTGTGTGTGTGTGACTGTGTGCGTGACTGTGTGTGCGTGACTGTGTGTGCGTGACTGTGTGTGTGACTGTGTGTGCATAACTGTGTGTGTGTGACTGTGTGTATATGACTGTGTGTGTGTGTGACTGTGTGTGTGTGACTGTGTGTGTATAACTGTGTGTGTGTGACTGTGTGTATATGACTGTGTGTGTGTGTGACTGTGTGTGTGTGACTGTGTGTGCATAACTGTGTGTGTGTGACTGTGTGTATATGACTGTGTGTGTGTGTGACTGTGTGTATGACTGTGTGTGTGTGACTGTGTGTGTGTGACTGTGTGTGTATAACTGTGTGTATATGACTGTGTGTGTGTGTGACTGTGTGTGCGTGACTGTGTGTGTGTGACTGTGTGTGTGTGACTGTGTGTGTGTGACTGTGTGTGTGTGTGACTGTGTGTGTGTGTGACTGTGTGTGTGTGTGACTGTGTGTGTGTGACTGTGTGTGTGTAACTGTGTGTGTGACTGTGTGTGACTGTGTGTGTGACTGTGTGTATATGACTGTGTGCTTGTGTGACTTGGTGTGTATGACTGTGTGTGTGTGACTGTGTGTGACTGTGTGTGTGTGACTGTGTGTGTGTGACTGTGTGATATTTTTTTCACGTGGTTAATTTATTGAAGGTGGAGGGGTTATCAGCCCCTCGCACTCGTCCAGAGCCCCCATTTAGCCGCTGTGGTGGTCACAAACACCCTGAGGGGAAAGGCCAATCGGAATTCGCCCTCCCCCCACGGCACTGTCCACGACAACGTTGCCCGTCCCGCACCACGGGGGAGGTAAGGGGTTGTTTTTGCCATCTGATACAGATACAATGGGAGGCTGATCGATGCCCGGGTGTGGTCAAGGGATCGCTCCCTATTGGTCAACCATGTTATGTATGCCGATGATCTGGTAATTACCGCTCACTCAGAGTTGGAGGCGCTGCTGCTGAAACTGGAGTGTGCCAGGAAGAGGTGGGGCCTTACCATCAGCCCCACCAAAACTAAACACCTGCCTGGGTATTTTGTACCATCGGGCACTCCACCCCCACAACTCCCAATCGGTGATGGGGCAGTTGTGGAGAGAGTGGAGAGTTTCCCATACCTGGGCAGTGTGCTCATGATCGGCTCCGGTTTAACAGCAGAGGTGTGAGGAGCTCACAAATCCTCGAAAGCTCTGGACAAAGTCCCATCGGTGAGCTCCTCCGGCAGGCAAGGCTGCGTTGGCTGGGCCATGTAGCCCGCATGCCCAATCACCGCATGCCCAAACAGCTTTTGTTTGGCCGGATCGAGGGGGCTAAACGGGCGTGGCATGGGCTAGAGAAGAGATGGAGTGACGTGGTACCGGAGGATGTGGAGCTGAGTGGACTTGCCGATGACTGGTACCAGCGGTGTCAAGATCGGCCTCTGTGGAGGAGGCTCGTGAAGGACGCTACTGGGCAGTTGGAGGCAGTCACCCTCCAACATCAACGGAGGGCGAAGGAGCGACGCTCACAACAACGAGCAGAGCGCCGGGTGGCTCACACAGCAAGTTGGCACAGTAGGGGGCACAGGTGGTGCATCAGCCAGTCATCTCGGTCATCTCAGTCAGTCGACCCGTGGCACCTGGGTCTGCCCCGTGACCTCCTGCCAGCGGGCGTTCGACACTTCACGTGGCCTCAAGGTGCACATGGCCTGGCACAAGCGTCGTGGTGACGTCACCGCCACTTAGTGGCGAATAGCGGTTGCTGTTGTTGTGTGACTGTGTGTGTGACTGTATAACTGCTTGTGTGTGTGACTGTGTGTGTGTGTGACTGTGTGTGTGTGACTGTGTGTGTGTGACTGTGTGTGTTTGACTGTGTGTGTGACTGTGTGACTGTGTGTGTGTGGTGACTGTGTGTGTGTGGTGACAAGGGGAGCGGCCAACACCGGTGACGATTATCTGATCCGTTTATGGGCCTCCCCTAGGTCGACCCAGCCTCCAATTAGTAACTGGTGCGGTGTGTAAACATCGCCACTAGGGAGACAAAGGCGGCCGGGCATGATGCTGGCCACCTACCCCCTCGTGTGCCATGCCGGCCTTCATAGGTGCTCGCTATCAGCACTTGCCCCAACAGTCTGTTAAGGCTACACGGGGGAATCTTTGCCTTTGTGCTGATCTCCCTCGATCAGCTTTCGGCCATCGGCCACTCAGGTTGACTCGGAACGTTTTGTCGAACGTCGCCGGAATGTCGCAATGGAAAGTTGCTTCGACCGCCGAAATGTTGTGATAGTGGCGACATGTCCGATGGTTCCGCGCGTGGCGTCGCGTCCCCAACTGGGGAACGACTGCGAGGTTCCCAGCCCGTGCTGCTGCTGCTCCCAACGCATCATCGCCACGTTTGGTCACCACGTGACGACTTCATCAATTGGCCGCGTCGGTTGGAGGAGCATTGCGCGACATTTAGCTCACGCCAATCTGACCGACAAAATCAGCGGTGAATTGCAATACAGAGGGTGCTTCAAAAAAATGTTAACGCTTCTGAGAATTTGCAACAACGCCACAAGAAATGTTGCGTCTCCGGGCTCTGGAGACCACCTGGAGATGATACCAGGCGTGCATTGACAACGATGGCGAACAAGTGCAGACTCGTTGACTTTTTGAAGCTATTATCATACATTTGTTATCACGTTACAGCGTATTATTATTCGTTCTTTTTCCATAAAAAATGATAGTCCCATATATGTGTAAAACATTTTTGAAGCACCCTGTTTTCATTCACGAAAGCCCACGCTTTATTTGAGATTGATTGATATTTGTGAACTGTTTTTTTTATGTCTTGTGCAATGTGCTTCTCTTGCTCTGATTATATTGTCTTTATTGTTGTACCGTACTTAATTTCACGTTACAGGGACTCATCTACTTACATACACTCGACTTACCAACTTTCAGAGATAAGAACAAACCTGTGCGTATGTCCAGTTGCCTGTTCGGACCGAACACGCAAAAGATGGTGGTGTTGGCATATACATCTACAGAACATGAAGAACCAGTGGTATCTACATCTACAGATTATACAGCTTTTTAAGCCATTCCTCATTTTAGTGTACATGCCGTACAACATTTTTGGAATCGACGGGAGTAAAGTTGGACTTACGATCACATCGACTTACGAACTTAACTCGTTCGTAAGTAGAGGAGTCCCTGCATCTGCTTTTGTTTTGGGTTACCCGGAGTCGCTCTTGCAATGGAGACTCTCTCCTGGTCTACTGCGTCCTCACCCCGGTCAAACTCAATACACCTGGAGGTTGTGTTCGCAGTAGGGTCAAAACAAGTCAAGCATCACAATCTCTACCAGATTAAGAGTGTGGCTCTCGGTGGGGACCTCAATCCTACCAGACCAGAGGTGCCCTGCAGACTCTCGGCACATTTGCGTGGCGTCACGAATGAGGAATCCCCACCACTGGCTCCGCAGGGCTGTAAACGGGCGATGCGCACCAATGCCTTCAATGTCACCCACGTGAGCGGGAATGAGTCTGCTCGCAGCGGGCGCCACACGGTTTTCGCTCATCCTTCCACCCGCTCGCTCGCGGTTCACCTCCCTCCCTCCCTTGCCCCTCGCCGCGCCGCACCTGCGTGTCCCCGCAGCGTTCGTGACGGGCGCTGCCACCACCGCCAAGGCCGCCGCCGCCACCTCCACGGGCGCCGCGCGCCCCGAGGATCCCGCAGGGTCCTCCTCACTCCAACCCCCAGCGGAGCGGCCGGCATCGACGGAGTCGCCCGGCACGGGAGGTGAGGAGGCGGCGGGCGGCCCGCTGCCGAGCGCTTGCCCAGCGCTCGCACGCACACACGTATCAGACACACGTATCAGACACACGTACACACACACACAGCGACGCAGTCAAACCGTAGCTCGTTCGACTCACATGACCCATAGACTCACATAGAGACCCAAAGCAGCACATGTATTGAGTTGTGATTAATCCGGGTTCTCAAGTGTAGCGAGGTGATGGTCTCAGCCCGGTCTCCAATGACAACACACCTTAAATTTTAGTTTGTCACGTGATTCTCTGTAGTACTTCTGTGGCATCTCCTTCCGTGGGCCGTTCTCTTACACAGGGGAAGGTACCACCGTTCAAAGTGGACACGTCACGTGTCTCACCATGCTACCAATGGTAAAAATTCGAATCCAGCGGCCACCCTGGTAAATACAGCGATGGCACGATATTGATACATCAAGCCGTCCGCTTCACTCGACGTGAGAGATCCCGTGATGTTATTCACAAGAGAAGGCCGCTGTGTGCTGGCGTCATGCTCCACATTTGCCAAATTTTTAAATGACACCGCAATTAATAAAAAAAAACGATAAACTAGTTTTTTTTTGTTTACCAGGGAAGTCCTACTGAGCTATTTAGCTCTTTTCAGAAGCAGCCTGGCTATCACAAATGATAGTTCAACAAAGTCGCTTATCATCGCTTGGAAATGTTTCGCAGCAAAATACTCTCAACGCATGGGGAGATAGAGACACGCAAACTCCAAATATACAGCAGCAGGCGTCAGGGTTGGGATCGAACCCACAACCTCCTGTATACCAGGCGAGGTAGTTAACATCTCCTAGCCACCGAGGCGCCCCATCGGAGTTCTGGGGCACCCGCTTTGTGTTGCAGCGCCCCCGGGGGCCCGCGTCTTCGTAGTGGAGCTGCCCGGAGGGAGGCCGAGCGAGCTGCGAGTGGAGGGCGTCTCGAGCGCGCTCCGCTGGTGCCAGGTGAGAGCGCGCGTGCGTATGTGTGTCTGTGTGTATAGAGCAGTGATGGGGAGCGGTAGTGTAGCGGTTAGCGCGCTGCCCTACGAACCCTGAAGACCCGAGTTAAATTCCCGCTCACGACCCACACCAGTTAAGATTATTTGAACCGGTCGTGGGCCTCCCCTAGGTCGACTCAGCCTAAAATTAGTACCTGGTGTGTAAACATCGCCACTGGGGAGACAAAAGCGGCCGGACGTGGTGTTGGCCACCCACCCCCTCGTGTGCCGTGTCGGCCTTCATAGGTGCTCACTAACAGCACTTGCCCAAACAGTCTGTTCAGGCTATACGGGGGATCTTTGTCTTTCCATAGAGCAGTGGTTATTCTTCTTAACCTGGGATGCACACCACCCCCCTGGGGGTGCGAGGCGTGGCCAGATTTCTTTTTAAAGAAAGTAAATTAATCGAAAGCACATATTAAGCACGGGCACATGAAGTTACAACTTTGTTTCAAAGTAAGTAAATTGAGAACCACTGGGTAGCGGTTAGCGCTACGCTGCGCTACGAACCTGGCGACCCGGGTTCGATTCCCGCTCACGGCCAACATCGGGGACGATGACCTGACCTCTGCACTCCGTAAGTGCTGTGTTGCTGCTGAGCGTGGCTGACCAATCGTGGCGTGTGGAAGCACCGGCTTCCTCTTTCTCACACGGCCCGCGCTTATCTCCGCGGCGCCACGCGGTGCCCTGACTCAGCGAATATCGCTTTGTGTGGGGGGCAGGGGAGGGGGTGGGGGTCACACGCGCTTGCTGTGTGGGGGGTCACGTACTGCTGTGTGGGGGTCACGCGCGCCTGCTGTGTCCGCTCTCCCCAGTTCCTGTACGGCTGCAGCGGCGATGATCGTGAGCAAGAAAGCCACCTCCTGGTGACCTCCGACACTGGAAGTATGGCTTCCTCACGCTGCTGCTGCCAATTCCCTTCCTTATCCGTGCCAAAAACGAATCCAGATTGACTGAAACTCCCAGACGCGGTGGGGTGAGCGAGCAAGCGAGCGGCAGGGACCGGGGTGGGCCAGGGTAACAAACAAGCGGCTTTTATCGCTTCGATTTCCGTAGACAAAACAAACAGGAAAACTCTCCCACACACATTTCAAGAGCCGCGATTCCTCGTGGCCAATGCGAGACGTTGGCCCCCTCGCTACAAACGACGCCACGAAGCAGCGACCGCTGTTACAGAGCCGCACGCACCTCCAGAGCCGACGGTTTTGCGCCCCCCACCCCCCCCCGGCGATCTCCGGGCGACTCCGGGGCGGCGTCGGCCCCACGGCACGAAGTTCCGTCTCGACCTCCGCCACCTCCCTCGCCTCCCCCGATGCGTAGTGATGAGACCTCACCGGCCCCCAGCTCTGTCTGAGGTGGGGGCGCAACCAGTGGTATTAGCACTGTGGCACTGCGAGTGTGGACCATTTGCGCTGCCTCTCTGCCTCACGACACTCCCTTTGTTCCTCCTCCTGCTCCTTCTCCTCCTCCCCCCTCCGTCGAGTCACGTGAACGTCGAGTAGTTGTTGAACTCGGTCTAGACACGCATGGGGTGCCGAGGTGGCGAGATGTTGACCGCCTCGCTCGGTATACAGGAGGTGCGTAGGTTCGATCCCCACCCCGACGCCTACTGCAGTTTGCATGTTCTCACCGTGGTCGCTTGGACTTTTTTTCCAGGTATTCCGGTTTCTCTCTCCACATTTAGAAACGCGCGTTTGTTGCGTTTGGCTGCTATAAATGTCCACACAATGATAAGCCACTTTCGTTGAGCTATCTTTCGTGGCCAGGTTGCTTCTGATCAAGAGCTATATAGCTCAGTGGGACTTACTTGGTAGGATAAAAAATTTAGCAGTTGTAGCATTCGGGATCATACACGCACGGCGCAGCAAAATCGCCCCCCCATTCTTGAAAAATGGACCGCTGCAGAATTCTCGAGTCTCACGCTTGTGCCCGGGTCTCCTTCCTCTCGCACCCCCACCAGGGGTCCACCTCTTCCACGTGAGACCCAGCGGCAGCGACGCGGAGAGTCCGCAGGTGAGGAGGCTGCGTCGTGTTTGTCTGAAGCTCCCCCGCCCCCCTCACCACTCCCGGTGTCGGTCTCTGGGGCCCCGCGCCGGTTGGAGCCGGCGTCGTAACTTGACAAATAGTCGGACAAGACGCCTCGTTCCCACGTCTGTGTCCTCGCGTGAAGGACTACAACCAGGGTTGTCTTTGTTGTTGTTGTCACACATCCCAACCAGCCACACGGCTTCCAATCCCCTGGCCGGCTGTGCCTCGACCGCCTCTCGTTGACGATTGCCTCGCGGTGTGCCCACGTGGCGTTTCACACCGACCCCAACGTGTCCCCCTTTCGCGACCCTCCACCGCGCTCGCACTGCCCTGGGGGAGCGGGGGAGGGACGCTGGCGGTGATCATCGCGCAGGCGTACGCGCTGACGCCGTCACTCGCGCACTTGGTCGCCCAGTCGGCCGGTCAGCCCGCCAGCCAGCCAGCCAGCAAAACTCGTCCGTTCTAATATCTAGCAACGACGCGAGTTGTTTTTTGTTTTCGTCTGCGATTGGCAGGGCGAGGCGGGAGTGTTCGTGATGCGCTGCGGTGCGGGCGGCGCGGCGCGGGGAGGCTCCGGCGACGAGGTGGTGTGCCGCTTCGTAGCCGGCAAGGTGCCCGGCACGGCGGCAGCTTCGGCGAAGGTCGCTCTCTCCCCCATAAGACGATGGTCCTCGCCCCTGGTGCACGCAGACATTAGCAAGCTGCGGCGTGTACAACAATCTTTGGCACGTGGTCATGACGGGTACTGCAAGATCCCGGTCATGCCCGTCCGGTGCTCGCCGAGCTGCATTGGCTTCCGATTGCCGAACGAACACGTTGTACACACAGAGCGCTTGCCGCAAATGAACCACGACACCTTGCTGATCTCGTCAAGGGGCATAAACCATCATCACGCGAACTGCGGTCATTCTCGCAGCGGTCGCGTTGGGCTGGTCATCGAACAAAGGCGGTCACCGCATCGCGCGTTTTGAGATGCGCTTCTGCGGCCGTCTGGAACGTTCTTCTGATATTAGGAAGCCACTGGGAGCTATGCACTTTTAAATCATCACCAGATTGACAAAATAAGTGATTTATAACTGCTTTTCGTGTTTCATTTGTTATCCTTCCCCACCGCACCTCACTAACCCGCCAAACAAAACATCCCCCCCACCACCCCCCCCCCCCCGTGTCTCCACCCGCAGGACCCTCCGTACAGCGCCGCCCCGAGTGAGCTCGTGCTGCCCGCGTGTGCCTGGAGCCAGTGGGACCCGCGGGGCCAGAGGCTCTTCTACCTGCTCAGCCCAGCGGTGAGGCCGCATTGCTCGGATCGCAGTGCTGGGCGCAGGGGCCACGTGATTTGTGTCGTCTCCGAGGCACACGGATATATCTCGTAATCAAATAGGGCGAATAGGTTCAATGTGCTAAATTAAATAATTGGGTTGAGAAAAAAACGTGGTTTATCTGCGTCAGGTGGTGGAGGGTTTTGACGACACAAATCTGTCAATCAGGGACAATAACGAGATGTGTGTCCAACTGCTACGTTTCGTGGATTTGGCTTCGTCGGGTGGTGGGGGGTCTTGACGACACAAATTGGGCGCGATCACTGCGGCGGTCTGTGAAGAATCACGACGGCGAAGCTGCGTGGCGCCAACCCGACTGCGTGCGCAGCCAGACGGGGAGCGGAGCCGCACGCACGCGGCCTCCGTGTCAACACCGCGGCGAGCAGTCGCTCGCGACGAGGTTGCTCGCAGTCGAGACGGACCCTACCCCCTAGCGAGCTCTACTCGCGAACCAACACTCTGTTGCGAATCACGTGCGTGTGACAGCAGGAGCAGCAGCAGGAAGGTGGAGGAGGAGGCAGTGGTGGGGGTGGCCCCACTCTGCGATGCCTTCAGTTCTACCCCGACCGCTTGTACCAGCTCATGGTGGGTGCGAGCACGGCGGCGGGCAGCGGCGTCCCGTGGGGCGCGACTCGCGACTATAAAACATGTTGCTACCGGGGGGATTCTTTTCCGTCCGCCGGTTGGCCGATGATTTTTTGTCGTCAGCCCGGGAGAAAAATCAAATGCAGCGACGACGAATCTGCGGTGCACGCTGCCGTCGAGCGGGTGAACGGTCGCGATGCGCTCCGCCATTTGGGCTCCGTCGGCGTCTACCGCGACCGCGTTACCACATTGCCGCGTTACCGCATTACTGCGACCGCATTACTGCGACTGCGTTACCGTGATCGCGTTACCGCATTACCCCGTCCTTTCTTTTTTATTTCCCATTGTGCGCGGAGCTCGGTGACCGGGACCTGGCGTTGCCGCCGCCGCGCGCTCTCGTTGGCGTTTACGGGGGGCAGGGTGGCGACGAAATCACCGATCGGAGATTTGCACCTCCCCCCTCCATTTATAAAAAAAAAAAAGTAAACGTAGTTGTGGGGGGGGGGGGGGTGTGGGGCGGCGTGTTCTTTGCCCGTGTATGGTCTTTGTGGAGCGCGAATCGAGGTTCATTTCATACATTCGGCTCGGTCGATGAAAGTTGATCGGGCTTCGTGGGATCGAGTAAGGCATGTTACGCCGCCCCCTTCATTTGATTGGTTAGCATCAGCAAGATCGGTGATTCCATCGAAGTCCTCTTTTATTGTACCGCAGCGCTGGCTGGTTTTCGGTTCTGGGACCCAGAGTGCTCTCCGCTGTTTGTGTTTGCTAACGACGCATTCTGTCTCCTGTGTGCCGGCGCGTAGCTGGAACTGAGTTTGCCTCCCTGCGTCTGGAGCCCGGACCGCCGGTGAGGATGGGTTGCGGAGTCCGTGCAAGTGCAGCGAAGCCGCGTCCGGCGTGTGTGCGGATGTGTGGTGTGTGTGGTGTGTGTGTGGTGCGTGTGTGTGGTATGTGTGTGTGTGGTGTGTGTGGTGTGTGTGTGTGTGCGTGCGTGTGTGGTGTGTGTGGTGTGTGTGTGTGCATGCGTGTGGTGTATGTGGTGTGTGTGTGTTTTGTGTGTGTGTGTGCGTGCATGTGTGTGTGGTGTGTGTGTGTGTGTGTGTGTGTGTGGTGGGTTTGTGTGAGTGTGTGTGTGTGGTGTGTGTGTGGTGTGTGGTGTGTGTGTGGTGTGTGGTGTGTGTGTGTGGTGCGTGTGGTGTGTGTGTGGTGTGTGTTTGGTGTGTGTGTGGTGTGTGTGGTGTGTATGTGTTGTGTGTGGTGTGTGGTGTGCGTGTGGTGTGTCTGGTGTGCGTGTGGTGTGTGTGTGGTGTGTGTTTGGTGTGTGTGTGGTGCGTGTGGTTTGTGTGTGGTTCGTGTGGTGTGTGTGTGGTGTGTGTTTGGTGTGTGTGTGGTGTGTGTGGTGTGTGTGTGGTGTGTGTGGTGTGTGGTGTGTGTGTGTGGTGTGTGTGGTGTGTGCTTGTGCCCTGCAGGGCACCGGGTGTTGCAACTCTTGGTGCGCCATGTACCGAGTTCAATTCCCGCTTACGGCCAAACATCAGTGACAAATATCGCGAACCGATCCCATGGCCTCCCCGTAGTGCAGTGTGCACACATCACCACGGGTGCAGTGTGTACACACACGCTCGCTAGCGGCGGCCTCCAGATTAGAAGCCACACAATGAATTGGCGTTTTCAGTCCGTCCCTGCAAGGATACCGCTTCAAGTGCTCAACATGCACAGTCCATCATGGGGGGTGCGAGCGTGATATGAGCGACATTGGGTCAAAACAAGAAAAATGTTGGACCGGTTTTGACGCTCGGTTTCTCATCAGCAGAGTCGGGCTTCGCTTGAACCAATGCAGACTACAGGTGACCTGCCAGACGTGTATAGGCAAGAGCCCGCTCTGTTACACATGGGTCCTACAGATCAGACTGTTTGCTGGGGCAGGGAGTGTCTTTGACCCCGGTCTCGACTAACGCTGCGTCCATCTGTGCCACGCCGCAGGTTTGTCAACGCGAGCGCACCCTCGGGCCAGCCGGCGGACTTCCCGTCACTGCGCGTCGTGTGTGGAGAGTCGGGTGGGTCCACGGTCGCCCTGCCGTCTATGGGTCTCTATGCGAGTCTATGGGTCTGTGTGTGAGTCTATGGGTCTCTGTGTTAGTCTATGGGTCTCTGCGAGTCTATGGGTCTCTGTGTTAGTCTATGGGTCTCTGTGTTAGTCTATGGGTCTCTATGCGAGTCTATGGGTCTATGTGTGAGTCTATGGGTCTCTGTGTTAGTCTATGGGTCTCTGCGAGTTTATGGGTCTCTGTGTTAGTCTATTGGCCTCTATGCGAGTCTATGGGTCTCTGTGTGAGTCTATTGGTCTCTGTGTGAGTCTATGGCTCTCTGTGTGAGTCTATGGGTCTCTGTGTCAGTCTATGGTTTTCTGTGTGAGTCTATTGGTATCTATGCGAGTCTATGGGTCTCTGTGTGAGTCTATAGATCTCTATGCGAGTCTATGGGTCTCTATGCGAGTCTATGGGTCTCTGTGTTAGTCTATGGGTCTCTGTGTTAGTCTATGAGTTTCTATGCGAGTCTATGGGTCTCTGTGTGAGTCTTTGGGTCTCTATGCGAGTCCATGGGTCTCTGTGTTAGTCTTTGGGTCTCTATGCGAGTCTATGGGTCTCTGTTTTAGTCTATGGGTCTCTATGCGAGTCTATGGGTCTCTACGTGAGTATATGGGTCTCTGTGTTAGTCTATGGGTCTCTATGCGAGTCTATGGGTCTCTATGCGAGTCTATGCGTATATATGCGAGTCTATGAGTCTCTGTGTTAGTCTTTGGGTCTGTGTGTGAGTCTATGGGTCTCTGTGTTAGTCTATGGGTCTCTGTGTGAGTCTTTGGGTCTCTATGCGAGTCTATGGGTCTCTGTGTTAGTCTATGGGTCTCTATGCGAGTCTATGGGTCTCTGTGTGAGTCTATGGGTCTCTGCGTTAGTCTATGGGTCTCTGCGAGTCTATGGGTCTCTGTGTTAGTCTATGGGTCTCTGTGTTAGTCTATGGGTCTCTATGCGAGTCTATGGGTCTATGTGTGAGTCTATGGGTCTCTGTGTTAGTCTATGGGTCTCTGCGAGTTTATGGGTCTCTGTGTTAGTCTATGGGCCTCTATGCGAGTCTATGGGTCTCTGTGTGAGTCTATTGGTCTCTGTGTGAGTCTATGGCTCTCTGTGTGAGTCTATGGGTCTCTGTGTCAGTCTGTGGTTTTCTGTGTGAGTCTATTGGTCTCTATGCGAGTCTATGGGTCTCTGTGTGAGTCTATAGAGCTCTATGCGAGTCTATGGGTCTCTATGCGAGTCTATGGGTCTCTGTGTTAGTCTAATGGTCTCTGTGTTAGTCTATGAGTTTCTATGCGAGTCTATGGGTATCTGTGTGAGTCTTTGGGTCTCTATGCGAGTCCATGGGTCTCTGTGTTAGTCTTTGGGTCTCTATGCGAGTCTATGGGTCTCTGTTTTAGTCTATGGGTCTCTATGCGAGTCTATGGGTCTCTGCGTGAGTATATGGGTCTCTGTGTTAGTCTATGGGTCTCTATGCGAGTCTATGGGTCTCTATGCGAGTATATGCGTATATATGCGAGTCTATGAGTCTCTGTGTTAGTCTTTGGGTCTGTGTGTGAGTCTATGAGTCTCTATGTGAGTCTATGGGTCTCTGTGTTAGTCTATGGGTCTCTGTGTGAGTCTTTGGGTCTCTATGCGAGTCTATGGGTCTCTGTGTTAGTCTATGGGTCTCTATGCGAGTCTATGGGTCTCTGTGTGAGTCTTTGGGTCTCTGTGTGAGTCTTTGGGTCTCTATGTGAGTCTATGGGTCTCTGTGTGAGTCTATGGGTCTCTATGCGAGTCTATGGGTCTCTGTGTGAGTCTATGGTTCTCTGTGTGAGTCTATGGGTCTCTGTGTGAGTCTTTGGGTCTCTATGCGATTCTATGGGTCTCTGTGTGAGTCTATGGGTCTCTATGCGAGTCTATGGGTCTCTGTGTCAGTCTATGGGTCTCTGTGTGAGTCTATGGGTCTCTATTACGAGTCTATGGGTCTCTGTGTGAGTCTATGGTTCTCTGTGTGAGTCTATTGGTCTCTATGCGAGTCTATGGGTCTCTGTGTGAGTCTATAGAGCTCTATGCGAGTCTATGGGTCTCTATGCGAGTCTATGGGTCTCTGTGTTAGTCTATGGGTCTCTGTGTTAGTCTATGAGTTTCTATGCGAGTCTATGGGTCTCTGTGTGAGTCTTTGGGTCTCTATGCGAGTCCATGGGTCTCTGTGTTAGTCTTTGGGTCTCTATGCGAGTCTATGGGTCTCTGTTTTAGTCTATGGGTCTCTATGCGAGTCTATGGGTCTCTGCGTGAGTATATGGGTCTCTGTGTTAGTCTATGGGTCTCTATGCGAGTCTATGGGTCTCTATGCGAGAATATGCGTATATATGCGAGTCTATGAGTCTCTGTGTTAGTCTTTGGGCCTGTGTGTGAGTCTATGAGTCTCTATGTGAGTCTATGGGTCTCTGTGTTAGTCTATGGGTCTCTATGCGAGTCTATGGGTCTCTGTGTGAGTCTTTGGGTCTCTGTGTGAGTCTTTGGGTCTCTATGTGAGTCTATGGGTCTCTGTGTGAGTCTATGGGTCTCTATGCGAGTCTATGGGTCTCTGTGTGAGTCTATGGTTCTCTGTGTGAGTCTATGGGTCTCTGTGTGAGTCTTTGGGTCTCTGTGTGAGTCTATGGGTCTCTATGCGAGTCTATGGGTCTCTGTGTGAGTCTATGGTTCTCTGTGTGAGTCTATAGGCCTCTATGCGAGTCTATGGGTCTCTATGCGAGTCTATGGGTCTCTGTGTTAGTCTATGGGTCTATATGCGAGGCTATGGGTCTCTGTGTGAGTCTATGGGTCTTTGTGTGAGTCTATAGGTCTCTATGCGAGTCTATGGGTCTCTATGCGAGTCTATGGGTCTCTGTGTGAGTCTATGGGTCTCTGTGTGCGTCTATAGGTCTATATGCGAGTCTATGGGTCTCTATGCGAGTCTATGGGTCTCTGTGTTAGTCTATGGGTCTCTGTGTTAGTCTATGGGTTTCTATGCGAGTCTATGGGTCTCTGTGTGAGTCTTTGGGTCTCTATGCGAGTCCATGGGTCTCTGTGTTAGTCTTTGGGTCTCTATGCGAGTCTATGGGTCTCTGTTTTAGTCTATGGGTCTCTATGCGAGTCTATGGGTCTCTGCGTGAGTATATGGGTCTCTGTGTTAGTCTATGGGTCTCTATGCGAGTCTATGGGTCTCTGTGTTAGTCTTTGGGTCTGTGTGTGAGTCTATGAGTCTCTATGCGAGTCTATGGGTCTCTTTGTTAGTCTATGGGTCTCAATGCGAGTCTATTGGTCTCTATGCGAGTCTATGGGTCTCTGTGTGAGTCTTTGGGTCTCTATGCGAGTCTATGGGTCTCTGTGTTAGTCTATGGGTCTCAATGCGAGTCTATGGGTCTCTGTGTGAGTCTTTGGGTCTCTATGCGAGTCTATGGGTCTCTGTGTGAGTCTATGGGTCTCTATGCGAGTCTATGGGTCTCTGTGTGAGTCTTTGGGTCTCAATGCGAGTCTATGGGTCTCTGTGTTAGTCTATTGGTCTCTATGCGAGTCTATGGGTCTCTGTGTGAGTCTATGGGTCTCTGTGTGAGTCTATGGGTCTCTGTGTGAGTCTATGGGTCTCTGTGTGAGTCTATGGGTCTCTATGCGAGTCTATGGGTCTCTGTGTGAGTCTATGGTTCTCTGTGTGAGTCTATAGGTCTCTATGCGAGTCTCTGGGTCTCTATGCGAGTCTATGGGTCTCTGTGTTAGTTTATGGGTCTCTATGCGAGTCTATGGGTCTCTATGTGAGTCTATGGGTCTTTGTGTGAGTCTATAGGTCTCTATGCGAGTCTATGGGTCTTTATGCGAGTCTATGGGTCTCTGTGTGAGTCTATGGGTCTCTGTGTGAGTCTATAGGTCTCTATGCGAGTCTATGGGTCTCTATGCGAGTTTATGGGTCTCTGTGTTAGTCTATGGGTCTCTATGTGAGTCTATGGGTCTCTGTGTGAGTCTATGGGTCTCTATGCGAGTCTATGGGTCTCTATGCGAGTCTATGGGTCTCTGTGTTAGTCTATGGGTCTCTGTGTTAGTCTATGGGTTTCTATGCGAGTCTATGGGTCTCTGTGTGAGTCTTTGGGTCTCTATGCGAGTCCATGGGTCTCTGTGTTAGTCTTTGGGTCTCTATGCGAGTCTATGGGTCTCTGTTTTAGTCTATGGGTCTCTATGCGAGTCTATGGGTCTCTGCGTGAGTATATGGGTCTCTGTGTTAGTCTATGGGTCTCTATGCGAGTCTATGGGTCTCTGTGTTAGTCTTTGGGTCTGTGTGTGAGTCTATGAGTCTCTATGCGAGTCTATGGGTCTCTTTGTTAGTCTATGGGTCTCAATGCGAGTCTATGGGTCTCTATGCGAGTCTATGGGTCTCTGTGTGAGTCTTTGGGCCTCTATGCGAGTCTATGGGTCTCTGTGTTAGTCTATGGGTCTCTATGCGAGTCTATGGGTCTCTGTGTGAGTCTTTGGGTCTCTATGCGAGTCTATGGGTCTCTGTGTGAGTCTATGGGTCTCTATGCGAGTCTATGGGTCTCTGTGTGAGTCTTTGGGTCTCAATGCGAGTCTATAGGTCTCTGTGTTAGTCTATTGGTCTCTATGCGAGTCTATGGGTCTCTGTGTGAGTCTATGGGTCTCTGTGTGAGTCTATGGGTCTCTGTGTGAGTCTATGGGTCTCTGTGTGAGTCTTTGGGTCTTTATGCGATTCTATGGGTCTCTGTGTGAGTCTATGGGTCTCTCTGCGAGTTTTGGGTCTCTGTGTCAGTCTATGGGTCTCTGTGTGAGTCTATGGGTCTCTATGCGAGTCAATGGGTCTCTGTGTGAGTCTATGGTTCTCTGTGTGAGTCTATGGGTCTCTGTGTTAGTCTATTGGTCTCTATGCGAGTCTATGGGTCTCTGTGTGAGTCTATGGGTCTCTGTGTGAGTCTATGGGTCTCTGTGTGAGTCTATGGGTCTCTGTGTGAGTCTTTGGGTCTTTATGCGATTCTATGGGTCTCTGTGTGAGTCTATGGGTCTCTCTGCGAGTCTTTGGGTCTCTGTGTCAGTCTATGGGTCTCTGTGTGAGTCTATGGGTCTCTATGCGAGTCTATGGGTCTCTGTGTGAGTCTATGGTTCTCTGTGTGAGTCTATAGGTCTCTATGCGAGTCTCTGGGTCTCTATGCGAGTCTATGGGTCTCTGTGTTAGTTTATGGGTCTCTATGCGAGTCTATGGGTCTCTATGTGAGTCTATGGGTCTTTGTGTGAGTCTATAGGTCTCTATGCGAGTCTATGGGTCTTTATGCGAGTCTATGGGTCTCTGTGTGAGTCTATGGGTCTCTGTGTGAGTCTATAGGTCTCTATGCGAGTCTATGGGTCTCTATGCGAGTTTATGGGTCTCTGTGTTAGTCTATGGGTCTCTATGTGAGTCTATGGGTCTCTGTGTGAGTCTATGGGTCTCTATGCGAGTCTATGGGTCTCTATGCGAGTCTATGGGTCTCTGTGTTAGTCTATGGGTCTCTGTGTTAGTCTATGGGTTTCTATGCGAGTATATGGGTCTCTGTGTGAGTCTTTGGGTCTCTATGCGAGTCCATGGGTCTCTGTGTTAGTCTTTGGGTCTCTATGCGAGTCTATGGGTCTCTGTTTTAGTCTATGGGTCTCTATGCGAGTCTATGGGTCTCTGCGTGAGTATATGGGTCTCTGTGTTAGTCTATGGGTCTCTATGCGAGTCTATGGGTCTCTGTGTTAGTCTTTGGGTCTGTGTGTGAGTCTATGAGTCTCTATGCGAGTCTATGGGTCTCTTTGTTAGTCTATGGGTCTCAATGCGAGTCTATGGGTCTCTATGCGAGTCTATGGGTCTCTGTGTGAGTCTTTGGGCCTCTATGCGAGTCTATGGGTCTCTGTGTTAGTCTATGGGTCTCTATGCGAGTCTATGGGTCTCTGTGTGAGTCTTTGGGTCTCTATGCGAGTCTATGGGTCTCTGTGTGAGTCTATGGGTCTCTATGCGAGTCTATGGGTCTCTGTGTGAGTCTTTGGGTCTCAATGCGAGTCTATAGGTCTCTGTGTTAGTCTATTGGTCTCTATGCGAGTCTATGGGTCTCTGTGTGAGTCTATGGGTCTCTGTGTGAGTCTATGGGTCTCTGTGTGAGTCTATGGGTCTCTGTGTGAGTCTTTGGGTCTTTATGCGATTCTATGGGTCTCTGTGTGAGTCTATGGGTCTCTCTGCGAGTTTTGGGTCTCTGTGTCAGTCTATGGGTCTCTGTGTGAGTCTATGGGTCTCTATGCGAGTCTATGGGTCTCTGTGTGAGTCTATGGTTCTCTGTGTGAGTCTATAGGTCTCTATGCGAGTCTCTGGGTCTCTATGCGAGTCTATGGGTCTCTGTGTTAGTTTATGGGTCTCTATGCGAGTCTATGGGTCTCTATGTTAGTTTATGGGTCTCTATGCGAGTCTATGGGTCTCTATGTGAGTCTATGGGTCTTTGTGTGAGTCTATAGGTCTCTATGCGAGTCTATGGGTCTTTATGCGAGTCTATGGGTCTCTGTGTGAGTCTATGGGTCTCTGTGTGAGTCTATAGGTCTCTATGCGAGTCTATGGGTCTCTATGCGAGTTTATGGGTCTCTGTGTTAGTCTATGGGTCTCTATGTGAGTCTATGGGTCTCTGTGTGAGTCTATGGGTCTCTATGCGAGTCTATGGGTCTCTATGCGAGTCTATGGGTCTCTGTGTTAGTCTATGGGTCTCTGTGTTAGTCTATGGGTTTCTATGCGAGTCTATGGGTCTCTGTGTGAGTCTCTGGGTCTCTATGCGAGTCCATGGGTCTCTGTGTTAGTCTTTGGGTCTCTATGCGAGTCTATGGGTCTCTGTTTTAGTCTATGGGTCTCTATGCGAGTCTATGGGTCTCTGCGTGAGTATATGGGTCTCTGTGTTAGTCTATGGGTCTCTATGCGAGTCTATGGGTCTCTGTGTTAGTCTTTGGGTCTGTGTGTGAGTCTATGAGTCTCTATGCGAGTCTATGGGTCTCTTTGTTAGTCTATGGGTCTCAATGCGAGTCTATGGGTCTCTATGCGAGTCTATGGGTCTCTGTGTGAGTCTTTGGGCCTCTTTGCGAGTCTATGGGTCTCTGTGTTAGTCTATGGGTCTCTATGCGAGTCTATGGGTCTCTGTGTGAGTCTTTGGGTCTCTATGCGAGTCTATGGGTCTCTGTGTGAGTCTATGGGTCTCTATGCGAGTCTATGGGTCTCTGTGTGAGTCTTTGGGTCTCAATGCGAGTCTATAGGTCTCTGTGTTAGTCTATTGGTCTCTATGCGAGTCTATGGGTCTCTGTGTGAGTCTATGGGTCTCTGTGTGAGTCTATGGGTCTCTGTGTGAGTCTATGGGTCTCTGTGTGAGTCTTTGGGTCTTTATGCGATTCTATGGGTCTCTGTGTGAGTCTATGGGTCTCTCTGCGAGTCTTTGGGTCTCTGTGTCAGTCTATGGGTCTCTGTGTGAGTCTATGGGTCTCTATGCGAGTCTATGGGTCTCTGTGTGAGTCTATGGTTCTCTGTGTGAGTCTATAGGTCTCTATTCGAGTCTCTGGGTCTCTATGCGAGTCTATGGGTCTCTGTGTTAGTTTATGGGTCTCTATGCGAGTCTATGGGTCTCTATGTGAGTCTATGGGTCTTTGTGTGAGTCTATAGGTCTCTATGCGAGTCTATGGGTCTTTATGCGAGTCTATGGGTCTCTGTGTGAGTCTATGGGTCTCTGTGTGAGTCTATAGGTCTCTATGCGAGTCTATGGGTCTCTATGCGAGTTTATGGGTCTCTGTGTTAGTCTATGGGTCTCTATGTGAGTCTATGGGTCTCTGTGTGAGTCTATGGGTCTCTATGCGAGTCTATGGGTCTCTATGCGAGTCTATGGGTCTCTGTGTTAGTCTATGGGTCTCTGTGTTAGTCTATGGGTTTCTATGCGAGTCTATGGGTCTCTGTGTGAGTCTTTGGGTCTCTATGCGAGTCCATGGGTCTCTGTGTTAGTCTTTGGGTCTCTATGCGAGTCTATGGGTCTCTGTTTTAGTCTATGGGTCTCTATGCGAGTCTATGGGTCTCTGCGTGAGTATATGGGTCTCTGTGTTAGTCTATGGGTCTCTATGCGAGTCTATGGGTCTCTGTGTTAGTCTTTGGGTCTGTGTGTGAGTCTATGAGTCTCTATGCGAGTCTATGGGTCTCTTTGTTAGTCTATGGGTCTCAATGCGAGTCTATGGGTCTCTGTGTGAGTCTTTGGGTCTCTATGCGAGTCTATGGGTCTCTGTGTGAGTCTATGGGTCTCTATGCGAGTCTATGGGTCTCTGTGTGAGTCTTTGGGCCTCTATGCGAGTCTATGGGTCTCTGTGTTAGTCTATGGGTCTCTATGCGAGTCTATGGGTCTCTGTGTGAGTCTTTGGGTCTCTATGCGAGTCTATGGGTCTCTGTGTGAGTCTATGGGTCTCTATGCGAGTCTATGGGTCTCTGTGTGAGTCTTTGGGTCTCAATGCGAGTCTATAGGTCTCTGTGTTAGTCTATTGGTCTCTATGCGAGTCTATGGGTCTCTGTGTGAGTCTATGGGTCTCTGTGTGAGTCTATGGGTCTCTGTGTGAGTCTATGGGTCTCTGTGTGAGTCTTTGGGTCTCTATGCGATTCTATGGGTCTCTGTGTGAGTCTATGGGTCTCTCTGCGAGTCTTTGGGTCTCTGTGTCAGTCTATGGGTCTCTGTGTGAGTCTATGGGTCTCTATGCGAGTCTATGGGTCTCTGTGTGAGTCTATGGTTCTCTGTGTGAGTCTATAGGTCTCTATACGAGTCTCTGGGTCTCTATGCGAGTCTATGGGTCTCTGTGTTAGTTTATGGGTCTCTATGCGAGTCTATGGGTCTCTGTGTGAGTCTATGGGTCTTTGTGTGAGTATATAGGTCTCTATGCGATTCTATGGGTCTTTATGCGAGTCTATGGGTCTCTGTGTGAGTCTATGGGTCTCTGTGTGAGTCTATAGGTCTCTATGCGAGTCTATGGGTCTCTATGCGAGTCTATGGGTCTCTGTGTTAGTCTATGGGTCTCTATGTGAGTCTATGGGTCTCTGTGTGAGTCTATGGGTCTCTATGCGAGTCTATGGGTCTCTATGCGAGTCTATGGGTCTCTGTGTTAGTCTATGGGTCTCTATGTGAGTCTATGGGTCTCTGTGTGAGTCTATGGGTCTCTATGCGAGCTACCGGGCACTATCGCAGGCGCCGGCTCGGTGTCCGTGGGGGCCAATGCCCGTCGCAGAGGCTCGTGGTTCAACCTTTCTCCTGGGCCTCGCCTAGGTCAGCTCAGCCTCAAATGAGTGCCCGGTACGCGGTGTGTGAACGCCACCACCGGGAAAGAGGCCCTGCACGGGCGCTCGCCAACAGCCGGCCTGCGTGGAACTTGTGCGTGCGTTCTGTGCCGCTGTGTTGACGCAGGAGCGCTGTGCATCTGCTATCAGGAGGGGCCGGCGGGGCAAGCCGTGCGCTATTCCATCCTCATGGTCCATCATGGTGAGAGATTGGTCTCAGTCACAATGTCCGACTGTGTGTGTGTGTGTGGTGTGTGTGTGTGATGCGTGTGTGTACGTGTGTGTGTGTGTGCGTGTGTGTGTGCATGTGTGTGTGCGTGTGTATGTGTGTGTGCGTGTGTGTGTGCGCGCGGGGATGCGTGTGTGCGTGTGTGTGTGTGCATGTGTGTGTGCGTGTGTATGTGTGTGTGCGTGTGTGTGTGCGTGCGGGGATGCGTGTGTGTGTGTGCGTGTGTGTGTGTGCATGTGTGTGCGTGTGTGTGTGTGTGGGCGTCCGTACATATTCCCCTGTGTGGGAAGCGGCGACCCGAGTTCGATTCCCGCTCACGGTCAATACCAGTGACGATTATCTGAACCGGTTCTGGGCCTCTGCTAGGTCGACTCAGCCCTCAAATGATCACCTGGTGCGATGTGTAAACATCGCCTCTCGGGAGACAAAGGCGGCCGGGCGTGGTGCTGGCCACCTACCCCTTCGTGTGCCGTGCCGGCCTTCATAGGTGCTCACTAACAGCACTTGCCCCGACAGTCTGTAGAAGGCTACAAATGCAACATGGGGGATCTTTGTCTTTGTGTGCAGGATACTCGTTTGGGTTCGAGGTTGACGCCGGCTCCGTGGCTTTCCAGCGGGAACTGCTGCTCTTCACACCCCTCGGTGTGCCACCACACACGCACGCACACACATGCACGCACACACACATGCGCACACACACACACGCACACACACACGCACACACGCGCACACACATGCACACACACGCGCACACACACACACACACGCACACACACGCACACACACACACACACGCACACACACACGCGCACACACACGCACACACGCGCACACACACGCGCACACATGCACACACACGCATGCACGCACACACATGCACACGCTCGCACAGATGCCCACACATGCGCACACACGCGCGCACACGCACGCACACACACGCACACACACCTCATTGTCATTTGGTCGAGTTGGTCGTGGTGGCAGCGTCGGTGGCGGTGGTGGTGGCGGTGGTGGTGGTGGCGGTGGTAGTGGCGGTGGTGGTGGAGGTGGTGGTGGCGGTGGTGGCGGTGGTGGTGGTAGCGGTGGCGGTGGTGGTGGTGGAGGTGGTGGGGGCGGTGGGGGCAGTGGTAGCGGTGGCGGCAGTGGTGGTGGTGATGACGACGGTGGTGGCGGTGGTGGTGGCGGCAGTGGTGGTGGTGATGACGGCGGTGGTGGCGGTGATGGTGGTAGTGGCGGTGGTGGCGGTGGTGGCGGTGGTGGTGGAGGTGGTGGTGGCGGTGGAGGTGGTCGCCTTGGTGGTGGCAGTGGATGTGGTGGTGGTGGTGGTGATGGTGGTGGTGGCGGTGGAGGTGGTGGCGGTGGTGGTGGTGGGGGTGCTGGCAATGGTTTTGAGAGAGTGCAACCGTGCCCTGTGTTTACGCGCAACCCCACAGATGGGTTCGTGGCCGTGAGCCTGCCGGGGAGATTCCTGCATCTCGTCAACGTGGACTACCCCTGGCTGTCCTGCCACAGCCTCTTCCTCGAAGGTGCCCCGGGCTGCTCGTGGAGCCGAGGACTTCTCACCCCCCCCCTGCCGCGTTCCGGTTTCGCAACGTGGAACAGAAACAGAGAAGCGTTGCACGGCGTGGCTGACGCACCGGGAGGCAGCCGTTAGCTTCTGCGGCCCTCACCTTCGGAACGGCTCTGCCCGACGATCTGAGGGCATTAGAATGAGGGAATGTTTTTCAACGACATATGAAAACACGTACCTTTTTTAGATTGGGCCTTAATTAGGATGTCCTAATTGTGTGCTTATTAGTCTTTGCATTATACTTTTAGTTCATTATAATGTCACGACTTTTTTTGCGTAATAATCACACTGGTGTTTATATTGTCCCGCAAGGCACTTTGCATTGCATGCACGAATTGTGCTGTGCCAGGTAAAGTTCGGTTTGATTTGACGCGACGGCGAGCCGCGCTCGGGCCGGTGAGTGTGCCGGTGAGCATCCCCGGTGAGCATGGCGGTGACCATCCCCGGTGAGTGTGCCTGATGAGCGTGCCTGGTGAGCATCCCCGGTGAGCGTGCCTGGTGGGCGTGCCTGGTGAGCATTCCTGGTGAGCGTGCCTGGTGAGTGTGGCTAGTGAGTGTGCCTGATGAGCGTGCCTGGTGAGCATCCCCGGTGAGTGTGCCTGGTGAGCGTGCCTGGTGAGTGTGCCTGGTGAGCGTGCCTGGTGAGTGTGCCTGGTGAGCGTGGCGGTGAGTGTGCCTGGTGAGTGTGCCTGGTGAGTGTGCCTGGTGAGCGTGCCTGGTGAGTGTGCCTGATGAGCGTGTCTGGTGAGTGTGCCTGGTGAGCGTGCCTGGTGAGTGTGCCTGGTGAGTGTGCCTGGTGAGTGTGCCTGGTGAGTGTGCCTGGTGAGTGTGCCTGGTGGACGTGCCTGGTGAGCGTGCCTGGTGAGTGTGCCTGGTGAGTGTGCCAGGTGAGCGTGCCTGGTGAGCGTGCCTGGTGAGTGTGCCTGGTGGACGTGCCTGGTGAGCGTGCCTGGTGAGAGTGCCTGGTGAGCGTGCCTGGTGAGCGTGCCCGGTGAGCATCCCCGGTGAGCGTGCCCGGTGAGCGTGACGGCGAATTGGGGGAGCCCCGGCAGTTTGAATCCCCGCTCGCAGCCACCGCACATCGGTGACGGAATCTTGAGAGGAGTCGGCAATCAGAATAATTTATGTATTTATTCATCCTGGAGAAATCCGATGAGCCACGAAGCTCTTTGTCGCCGATGTCCACGAGTGACGACGATCTGACCCGGTCCTGGGCTTCCACTTGGTCGACTCAGCCTCAAATGAGCACCTTGTGCTCTCGTATCTACATCGCCACTCGCGAGGAGGAGGCAGCCGGGTGTGCCGGCCTTTATAGGTGATCGCTCACAGCACTTGCCGCGACAGCCTGTTGAGGCTACACGGGCGAGGCTCTGCCTGTGCCTGCCTCCTCATGCCCACCGCTGCCTGGTGCACGATGGGTGGTGGGGGTTGCATGAGCGAGCCACTCATCTCAGTCGTCTCAGTCATCTCAGTCGACCCGTGGCACCTGCTGGGTCTGCCCCACGACCTCCTGCCAGCGTGGTATCAACGTGCACATAGCCTGGCACAAGCGCCGTGGTGACATCACCGCCGCTTAGTGGCGAATGGCGGTTGTTGTTGTTGTTGTGAGCGTCTTGCCAACTCTCCGCTTCCCCCCCTCCGGGCCAGGTCGCGACCTGTCCACGTTCCTGCGCAACTTTGTGACGGAGCCCGACCTGCGCACGCTGGGAGACCTCTACGCGAGCCGCTCGGCGGGGACGCTGCACCGGCTGGGCGCACGCCACGTCACCGCCAGCGCCAGCGCCCCGCAGCTGGGGGCCACGCTGCGCCGCTGCCGGCGGAGCGGCCACCGCACGGCCGCCCTGCACGCCGCCCTGGCGTCCGGGGAGCACCACGGAGCCAAGGAGCAGGTCGGTCGTGGGCCTCGCCTCCACTCCATCGCTCACTCACTCACTCGCTCGCTCCCTCGCTCACTCCCTCACTCACTCGCTCACTCAGTCACTCCCTCGCTCATTCAGTCACTCCCTCACTCTCTCACTCACTCGCTCACTCACTCAGTCACTCCCTCACTCTCTCACTCACTCGCTCACTCACTCGCTCACTCACTCAGTCACTCCCTCGCTCACTCACTCGCTCCCTCGCTCACTCAGTCACTCCCTCGCTCACTCCCTCACTCACTCGCTCACCCACTTGCCTCCTCCCTCACTCCCTCCCTCGCTCACTCCCTCACTCACTCGCTCACTCACTTGCTCACTCACTCAGTCACTCCCTCCCTCGCCCACTCCCTCACTCACTCGCTCACTCACTCAGTCACTCCCTCTCTCGCCCACTCCCTCACTCGCTCCCTCACTCACTCAGTCACTCCCTCACTCCCTCGCTCACTCACTCAGTCACTCCCTCCCTCGCCCACTCCCTCACTCACTCGCTCACTCACTCAGTCACTCCCTCCCTCGCCCACTCCCTCACTCGCTCCCTCACTCACTCAGTCACTCCCTTACTCCCTCGCTCACTCACTCAGTCACTCCCTCGCTCACTCCCTCCCTCACTCGCTTGCCTCCTCCCTCACTCACTCCCTCCCTCGCTCACTCATGGTGGTGACGTTGATGACGCAGCCGTCTGGAATGCTCTTCTGATATTCGGAAGCCACAGGGTGCGATGCACTTTTAAATCATCTCAATTGAAATCTCATTCCCTTAGAACTGCTTTTAGCAGCATTAGCGTGTTGTCCTTCCCCCGCACCTCCGATCACCCCACGGTTGGCTACGTACGAGGTGCGAAAGGAGCTCGACGCATGTACGGGCGGGTGGGTGAGCAGCGGGGTAAATGCGCAGTGTTGGAACGAGCGGGCGGAGCGCGTGTGGAACCCTGTCTCCACGCAGGCCCTGCGGTTCCTGTACAAGAGCTGTCGCGAGCCATCCACGCACCTCCTGCAGGAGTTTCTCGTCGGTGAGTCGCTCGCCGCTCGCCGCTTGGCCGCGGGCCATCGGTGCCGTCGCACCGCCTGCGCACTCTGCACAGCCGCGCAGGCCGGAACGGCCGTGGAGCAGAAACCCGTGGGTGACGCTCGGTGGATTTTCGCAAGGGATAAGTATGCGACGGGCGACGTTTCGGGCCATGGCCCTTCTCCAACGGCGTGTAAGCGGCGGGTCGCGATGAACTGCCGCCGCGAAGTCGGAGGTCGTCGTGTGCCCCACTCGGCGGTCGCCGCGAGAGAAAAGCGACGGCCCACGACGACGGAGGCCACGCGGAACCGGAGCGGAGTCGACGCTTCGCTCGCCCCGCGCGGAGTGCCCCGCTCCTCCTCCTGCGTGTTTGTGTGTCTCTGTGTGTCTGTGTGTTTGTGTCTCTGTATCTCTGTGTGTCTCTGTGTGTTTGTGTGTCTCTGTGTGTTTGTGTCTCTGTGTGTTGGTGTCTCTGTGTGTTTGTGTCTCTATGTGTTTGTGTCTCTGTGTGTTTGTGTATCTGTGTGTTTGTGTGTCTCTGTGTGTTTGTGTGTCTCTGTGTGTTTGTGTGTCTCTGTGTGTTCGTGTCTCTGTGTGTTTGTGTGTTCCCTGTGTGTTTGTGTGTCTCTGTGTGTTTGTGTGTCTCTGTGTGTTTATGTGTCTGTGTGTTTGTGTCTCTGTGTGTTTGTGTGTCTCTGTGTGTTTGTGTGTCTCTGTGTGTGTTTGTGTCTCTGTGTGTGTTTGTGTGTCTCTGTGTGTTTGTGTGTCTCTGTGTGTTTGTGTGTCTGTGTGTTTGTGTCTCTGTGTCTCTGTGTGTTTGTGTGTCTCTGTGTGTTTGTGTGTCTCTGTGTGTTTGTGCGTCTCTGTGTGTTTGTGTGTCCCTGTGTGTTTGTGTGTCTCTGTGTGATTGTGTGTCTCTGTGTGTTTGTGTGTCTCTGTGTGTTCGTGTGTCTCTGTGTGTGTTTGTGTCTCTGTGTGTTTGTGTGTTTGTGTGTCTCAGCGTGTTTGTTTATCTGTGTATCTGTGTGTCTCTGTGTGTGTTTGTGTCTTTGTGTGTTTGTGTGTCTCTGTGTGTGTTTGTGTGTGTTTGTGTGTTTGTGTGTCTGTGTGTTTGTGTTTCTCTGTGTGTCTCAGCATGTTTGTGTATCTGTGTGTTTGTGTCTCTGCACAGCGTCTGTGCTGGGGGAGATGGCGGTGAGGGAAGGAGCAGCGGATGCGATCCCCTTCCTGCCGTACACAGCGCTCACCACGTGGACCGAGGTTAGGCCTGGTGGCTCGCTCACCTCCTTGCTCTCCTGCTCACCCGCCCGGTCCCTCACCTTCTCGCTCACCTCCTCGCTCGTCAGCTCTCCCACTGTTCTCACCCGCCTACTCGCTCACCTGCTGCTCACCTTCGTCGCAATCTTACTCGCTCACCACCTCGCTCACCACCTCGCTCACCACCTCGCTCACCACCTCGCTCACCACCTCGCTCGTCTTCAAGATTGCGCGTGCGTCATTCCACGTTGGCTTCGCGCGTTGCAGTCGCGCAGCCCCGAGCAAAGGAGCTGTTCCATCTCAAGGGGTTTTCCAGACGTGGAATGTTTCAATGAAGAAGTGGTGGTGATGGTGACGACGACTGAATGTCCACTCTCCTCCGTCGTGCCTCTAGGAAATCCCTGGACTCACGGCGACGCAGGAGAAGATTCCCAACGTCGCGGACGCTCTCAAGCAAAAGGTTCGGACCCCCGTGCGGCTCCCCCCGCGTGGCTGATGGGATGTGTACGCACGTATGTGTACGTTGAACTTCTTTCGCGCCGTACGTAAGCCAACCGTGCTAACAGGAGAGAGAGGAGGGTGGAATTGAGGCGTGTGGCGGAGTGCCTGTTTGTTTGGCTCGTGATTCCTGTGCAGATCTTTTTCAGAAGCGACCTGGCGAATCACACACGATAGCTCACCGAAGTAGTTCATCGTCATCATATTCGTCGTGTGGAAATGTGTAGCAGCCAAATACTCTAGACGCGTGATGTTGATTTCTAAATGTGGAGGGAAAATCAGGAGAAAAGTCTACGCGACCACGGGGGGAGAGAGAGAGACACGCAAACTCCAAATATACAGCAGGTGTCAGGGTCAGGATTGAACCCACGACCTCCTGTACACCAGGCGAGGTAGTTAACATCTCCTAGCCACCGTGATGATGATGAGAGAGAGAGACACGCAAACTCCAAATATACAGCAGGTGTCAGGGTCAGGATTGAACCCACGACCTCCTGTACACCAGGGGAGGTAGTTAACATCTCCTAGCCACCGTGATGATGATGAGAGAGAGAGGCACGCAAACTCCAAATATACAGCAGGTGTCAGGGTCAGGATCAAACCCACGACCTCCTGCATTCCAGGCTAGGTCGCCAACATCTCCTCGCCCCCATGGCGCGCGGGGAGGTCCGGTGTGAGTGGCGGTGCCGCGCGACGCTCACCGCGCGGGCGCTCTCAGCTGTCTTGCTGTCGCGTGCTTGATGCTGAGTGTCTAAGCATACATACTCTTAGGTTTTTTCGGTAAAGTCACGTAGGTAAAAATGTTTTATTAATAAAAGTAAAATAAAACAAATTAAAAAATTCACGACGTTTCGGAAGCAACACAAGCCTCCGTCTTCAGGTGGAACCGTCACAGCCACGACAGCTGTATCAAGTAAATGAGAGATCACAAGAAATACTATAATGGTTGAGGGGGGAAGGGCCAGGAACGGCACACTTTTTTATTAATATGGTAAGGTGAGGCTTAAGACCAAGAGTAGACTGCATAACAAAGGACTGAGCCTTTGTTATGGCGAGGTGCGGTTTGTAACTAACACATGGCATACATAACAAAAGTGTGAAAAAAGAAAAGCAAGTAAAAACTAAAACTGGTAAAACAACAAACTGGCTGTCTATCAATAACCTGTAATAGTTGTCTGTCAAATAAGATGGTCCAAATAAGTGTAGTTACATCTTTTTTGCATGGTTAATCACATCTTTCCAATTACTACTCAGTTTGTAACCCTCATCACGGTTGAAATTATGTCTGTGTTTGTATATTTGTATGGCTTCGTGTACAAACCTTTGATGGTAGCCAGGAGGCTTGCAGAGCACCTTGGTCTCGGAAAAGACAATTTCATGAGAGCCCACAGAGTTGTAGCAATGATCGGCAACGGCCGAAGAATCAGTTCTGCCGTGTTTCAGATCTGACTTGTGCTCGCGGACACGATCAGAAACATGACGTTTCGTTTCTCCAATGTAGCAATCACCACAACTGCAACTCAGTTTGTAGACTCCAGGATACTGTAAGTCAGGAACGACATCCTTCACAGATGGAATCAGATCACGGATTTTATACACTGTACTGAATCGGACTTGGATCTTATGTTTGTTTAGAATTTTGGAGATCTTTTTGGTCTCGCCTGCTATGTATGGTAACGTGACAGTTTTGGTCGGAGTTTCATGTGGCTGTTTCTGTATGGTGGGAGAAACAGCTTGGCGTATGGTACGGTCAGAGTATCCGTTCATCCTGAGGGCCCGATGTACATGTCTTAATTCACCGGCCAGGTGGTGTTGGTCAGAAATGCCATGGGCTCTGTGGTATAGCGTTTTGATGAGAGAATTCTTTTGAGATGGGTGGTGGTGGGAATCCGGTTTCAAGTAGGAATCTGTGTGGGTGGCTTTCCTGTACACAGAATGTCCCAAGGATCCGTCAGGCCTCCTCTCAAACAAAATATCCAAGAATGGTAGTTTACCATCTTTCTCCACTTCCATGGTGAATCTGATGGATGGGTGTCTGGAATTAATGTGGTCCAAGAAGTGGTTCAATGCTGGGAGGCCATGTGGCCAGATGACGAAAGTGTCATCCACATACCTCTTCCACAGGGAAGGACGCAGGGTGGATGTCTGGATGGCGTCTGATTCAAACTTTTCCATAAACATGTTGGCTATCACTGGTGACAAGGAGGAGCCCATAGGGGTACCCTCATTCTGTTTGTAGAAGGTACCATTCCAGGTAAAATAGGTGTTGGTGAGGCAATGCCTAACCAGCGCAGGTACATCAGAATTCAATCCATGTTGGACTAAGTCCTCAATTATTGATAGGGTGTCCGGTACTGGGACTTTGGTAAACAGAGATACTACATCAAAACTGACGAGGATGTCATCAGGAGATAGTACCATGTCCTTAACCATAGAGACTAATTGGGTTGAGTTGCCTGTGAAGGGGAGCAGAGTATCTGATAGAAACCGGGCTAGTTTGTAAGTAGGGGAGTTTATCGTCGACACGATGGGTCGTAGCGGGGTGCCTTCTTTATGGATCTTGGGAAGACCATAGAGTCTGGGAGGTCTTGCCGCCGATGGTTTTAGAGAGGGACGTTTGCTTGGTTCGATTAGGGAAGTTGAACTTGTGATGATGCTGTTGGTTTTTGTCGTTAGGCTTTTAGTGGGATCGTTTTTAATTTTGGAGTAACTCCCATCATTAAGTAGGTCCAGGATTTTGTTGTATGAATCTTTATCCATGATGACCGTGGCATTGCCCTTGTCTGCCGAGAGCATGACTATATCATCTTTCTTTTTTAGGTCCGCGAGTTCAGAGCGTTCGTGTTTGCTGTTACTAGTGGGTTTCTTAGCATTCTTAAGAATCGAAGCTATTTCAGCTCTTGCTACATCCGCATGGATGTGTCCTATGCCTCTGAGGGCTACATAAATCTGAGAAATCACATCCTCTACTGGTATATATTTAGGGGTGATGGCGAAATGTAGTCCTTTGGCCAGTACCGTTTTAAGATTGTCAGAAATTGGATACTATGCTGTTGTTGTTGCTGTTGTTGGTGTCGCTGCTGTTGCTGTTGTCTTTTGTTGTTGCTGCTGTTGTTGTTGCTGCTTTTGTTGCTTTAGAACTGCTTTCTGTGTTTAGTGTCCTTCTGCTCCGCACCTCTGATTATAAAGGTTGGCAACATATGGCACGAAAGAAGTTCAACGTAGGACATAACGCTCAGCACGTTCCTCAATAACGCCGTGGGCTTACGATGAAGAATAATGACACGTAGGCGATGTCTGATCGGCAGCGTTGAGCGGTTGTCGTTAACTGCGCGCGTGCGCCACTGCCAACGCAGCAGCGACAGCAGCGGTGGCGGCATCACCGAATCGTTTGGTTGATTCGCGGGTGCGGAGCGAGAGCGGAGCGAGTGACGGCCTTGCGGGTGTCGTTGCCCCCGGCGGCAGGCGAGCGGCCCGGGGTTCTGGAGCGGCCTGGAGCGGCGCGTCGCCGTGCCGGATGGGGCCCAGCGGCGCTACCAGCTCGGGGGCAACCGGCGCGCCCTGCGGGACCTCGTCGCGGCCCATGCGGTGAGCGGGACGCCCGGCCGCGGCGGTGGTGCCGGTGGTGTGCCGCGGTAGCGCAGCGCCCCCCAGGCAGCGGCGAGGGTCGGTGGACCGTGCGTGCACGCGGTCGTCAAGCTCCCTCGCTCCTTCTCACACACCCACCCACACACCAACCCCGTGGGCGTTGAGCTCAGCATCTCCCAGATTGCCAGGGTGTGATGGCAGTACAGCAAGTGGGATCATTTCCATCCTCCCCTCTCCCATCGCATGCTTGAGTTTCCTCCTGGTGCCGTGCCCTTGTCTCCTGACGCCCATCGCTCTCAGCCCTCCTCGCCCGTCTCATCTCCTCTCGCGTCCCACGTCCTTCCCTGTCCGCCGTTTTCTTATCTCTGCTTTCCCCGCCCGTATCTCCTCTGTGCCTGCTGCCCTTTTGGTCTCCATCTCCTAGTCCGCTATCTGCCCCCCCCCCCCCGCTCTCTTCACGCCTTCTGTCCCCCCCGTGGCTGTCTCTCGACCTCCGTCTCTCTGTCCCGCAGCGCAATCTGAGACAGGCGCTGCAGCAAAATGTGGACTCGTCGCGTCCATCCACCGCTCCCCACTCCTCACACCCGGGGGTCTTCTCCACGTCCTTCGGTCCGCTCCTGCGAACATCCCGCAGCAGGACAATGGATCTTGGCCAATTGCGCGGCGCCACTTCGGGCTGCCTTGCCCGCTTTTTCGCATCGCTTCCTCCCCCGCGTCTGTCTCGAGAGCGAGCGAGATCCGCGCGCGTCGTCACAAACCCTCGAGCTGACAGGGCGTTGACGGGCGGAGTGTTCGTTTCTCTTCTGCGCTTTCTCAGGCGTCTCAGAGCAGCGGGCACCGGGTCGGCGAGCTCCTCACCCTGGCAAGGAGGTAGCACAAGTTTCGAGTGCGACGCATCGGGCGGACAGCAAACACCACGCGCGGGTCGCGGGAATGACGTCCGTTGTGAATATTAATCGCTATCGAAACTTGCCACCGGCTTCAAATGGGTGGAATTGACGCACTCCCCCTTGTTGTTCGCAGGGTCCTGTCGCTGTCTGCTTCCTGGAGCAAAGGTGAGCGGAAGAAAGCGACCACCTGTGAGGTCGCGACCCCCTGTGAGGTCGCGACCCCCTGTGAGGTCGCGAGCGTGTGTGAGGTCGCAACCTCCTGTGAGGTCGCGAGCGTGTGTGAGGTCGCGACCCCCTGTGAGATCGCCAGCGGCTGTGAGATCGCCAGCGTGTGTGAGGTCGGCAGAGACCCGAGTTCGATTCCCCGCCCGCGGCGACCAACGCCACTGACGGTTGTCTGAACCGGTACTGGGCCTCCCCGAGGACGACTCGGCCTCAAGCGATTGGCCGGTGCGGTGCACAAACATCTCCCCTGCGGAGACAAAAGGTGGCCCGGCGTGGCGCCGCTGGCCACTCACGCCCTTGTGCACCGTGCCGGCCTCCATCGGTGCCGCTCGCTAACGGCACTTGCCCCGACAGCCTGTTGGGGCTACGCGGGGGAGAGGGGGTAGCGGTCTTTGTCTTTGTTGCGTGAGTGAGAGAGAGACTGCGAGTGCGCGAGGCCGCTGATGCGCCCCGACACCGTCTCGCGCTCCGCCCTTCATCCGCACCGCGTGCCGGCACCGGCCGCGTTTGTTCCACCACGTGAATCGACGGCAGTGGGGAGCCGAGGCTACAACCGGCGGCATATGAATTCAGACGGGTGGTGGCAGGAGACCGTTCGGGGAGAGATGGTCGCGTCATGATGGAGAGGGAACGGGAAGCGGTTGCAAAACGCGTGAATCACGCGGATGGAATTTTACACCCTCCGCTCTTGCGAACCGACGAGCTATCGCGATTCGGGATTGCCTCGAAGCTATAAACTATTCACTATTTTTATTTTACCAGGTAAGGCCCACTGAGCTACATAGCTCTTTTTCAGAAGTGGCCTGGCTAAAACAAATGATAGCCCAAACACTCCAAAAGCGTGTTTCTCGAGACTCACAGAGACCCACATTGATTCTAAATGCGGGGGGGGGGGGGGAACCGGAGGACCCAGAGAAAAATCCACGCGACCACGGGGAGAGAGAGACACGCAAATTCCAAACATACAGCAGGCGTCATCGGGGTCGGGATCGAACGCCACGGCCTCCTGATTCACAATCCCCGTCCTCCGCCGCACGCGGCCCCGTGAGCGCGCCATCGCCGTGGCGACCACCTCCATCGGCGCGTGGGCCAACGGCTAGCGGCGAGCGACGGCAACGAGCATCGCCAACCCGGCCACGTGCGCGCGCTCGCCTCCGTCCGACCTCGGCCGACCCGCCGGCTTGACCCCCTTGACCTCTCCACTTTTGTGGCCAGGAGGATCGAGCAGTCTGCCACTCTTCCAGGAGGAGGATCCGGAGCAGATGCTGACGGCCGGCATGGTGAGCGCGCTGCGCCGACACCCTCCCCTAGCCTCCCAATCCCGTGGTTGCGTCGTCGGGGGGACGCCGAATGCTCGGCAGGCCGCCTCTGGGCCGTTCAGGGGCCTGCAGCCACGGAGGCTCAGGGTGGCGCACGGTGGCTCAGGATGTCTCAGAATGGCTCACGGTGGCTCAGAGTGGCTCACGGTGGATCAGGATGTTTCAGAATGGCTCACGGAGGCTCAGGGTGGCGCACGGTGGCTCAGGATGTCTCAGAATGGCTCACGGTGGCTCAGGGTGGCTCACGTTGGCTCTGGGTGGCTCAGGGTGGCTCACAGTGGCTCAGGGTGGCTCAGGGTGGCTCACGGTAGCTCTGGGTGGCTCAGGGTGGCTCACGGTGGCTCAGGGTGGCTCAGGGTGGCTCACGGTGGCTCAGGGTGGCTCAGGATGGCCGTGTCCGAGCATCGAGCCGGCACCTCAGATTTTTGTTGCCAGAAAGGTGCCAAAAAGCGAATTGACTTCACCCGGCCTCAATCACGATCACAGGCCGATCGCCCAGACCGGCATCGGAGTGGCCTCCAGGAGCCCAGCCACCAAGGGGAAGAGAAGACCCAAGAGCAGATGGTGGCAGATGGTCACGGCACATCTGTGGGTCTCTGGGTCTACGGCTCTCTGTGTGAGTCAATAGATTCCTATACGTTCTGTAGGTCCCTCTGTGAGTGTGTCTAAGGTCAGTTGGTGGCATCCTACCATGGCATATATATATATGTGTGTGTATGAGTCTATGGGTCTCTATGTGGGAATATGAGTCTCTGTGTGAGTCTGTGGGTCTCTGTGTGAGCCTGTGGGTCTTTGTGTGAGCCTGTGGGTCTCTATGCGAGTCTATGTGTTTCTATGCGAGTCTGTGTCTCTATGCAAGTTTGTGGGTCTCCATGTGAGTCTGTGGGTCTCTATGCGAGTCGGTATTTATCTGTATGGGGACCCACACACACACGGCTGCTCGCCGTCTTGACCGAGTGTCTGCGTGGCCACGTGACGCCGTGGCCGTTGGTGTATCCCAGCTGGTGGATGACCTGCGGACCCACCTGCAACGCTGCCTGCCCACGCTGGGCAGGAAGGCGCTGGAGGACATAGCCCTGAGCTACGTGCAGATCCAGGTGAGGCGAAGCAGCAGCAGCAGCCCCGTTCACCTTCAGCCGTGCTGTGTCCGCCGCTGGACGGACACCTCCACGGCGCCTCCCGCCCGCCAGCCGATTCCGTCACTCCGTCCTTTGGCTGCTGTTCCGTCGTTAGCAGCGGCCGCGTCCAGAGCCCCCACGCTTATTAGGGGCGCCGCGGTGGCTAGGAGATGTTGGCTACCTCGCCTGGTATGCAAGAGGTTGTGGATTCGAACCCGACCCTGACGACTGCTGCTGTATATTTGGAGATTCGTGTCTCTCTCTGCACATTTAGAATCGGCGTGTGCGTTTAGAGTATTTGGCTGCTATCAATTTCCACTTGCTGATGCGCTACTTCGTTGGGCTATTATTATTATTTGTAGCCCACTGAGCTCTACAGCTCTTTTTCAAATGCGACCTGGCCACAAATGATGGCTCAAAGAAGTTGCTTATCACGTGGAAATTTATAGCAGCCAAATACTCTGAATGCACGTCGATTGTAATTGTGGAGGGGACAACCGGAGGACCCGAAGAAAAATCCACGCGACCACGGGGAGAGAGAGACACGCAAACCCCAAATATGCAGCAGGCGGCAGGGTCGGGATCACACCCACGACCTCCTGTGTACTTGGCGAGGGAGTTAACATCTCTTAGCCACCGTGGCGCCCATCATTATTATTATAATTATTACTACTCCGCCTGTTTGCCCAAGAAAGACTCGCTGAGTCTCGTGAGTCCCTTGTCAGGAGGCTCCTGCCAGGTTCTCGCAGTCGGGAGGCGACGGTTGCTGCCGTGCGCATCCCAATCGAGTCACGAACGGCGTGATTTTTTCACCTTTGGAAATTTTGGACCGTGACGCCACCGCGCAATGGCCATCTCCTGCGAGTGACGTCACGGGGGGATTTTTAACGTCCACTGTGAGCGAAGCGGATCGAATACAAACCGCGTGAGATCTGCAACTCGGACGACGCACATCCGGCCAACGTCACGCATCCGTAGCATCAGTGCCACGTCGGGCTTTGCCCAAGCCTTACGCCGTCTCCTCTGCCGAGTCATCGGCCAGAGTCGCGCCCTACGGGGTCAGTGGAGCGTCACGGGGTCAGTGGCGCGTCGCGGGGTCAGTGGAGCGTCACGGGGTCAGTGGAGGGTCACGGGGTCAGTGGAGTGTCACGGGGTCAGTGGAGCGTCACGGGGTCAGTGGAGCATCACGGGGTCAGTGAAGTGTCATGGGGTCAGTGGAGCGTCACGGGGTCAGTGGAGCGTCACGGGGTCAGTGGAGCATCACGGGGTCAGTGAAGTGTCATGGGGTCAGTGGAGCGTCACGGGGTCAGTGGAGGGTCACGGGGTCAGTGGAGCGTCACGGGGTCAGTGGAGCGTCACGGGGTCAGTGGAGCATCACGGGGTCAGTGAAGCGTCACGGGGTCAGTGGAGCGTCACGGGGTGAGTGGAGCGTCACGGGGTCAGTGGAGCGTCACGGGGTCAGTGGCGCATCGCGGGGTCAGTGGAGCGTCACGGGGTCAGTGGAGCGTCACGGGGTCAGTGGAGCGTCACGGGGTCAGTGGAGCGTCACGGAGTCAGTGGAGCATCACGGGGTCAGTGAAGTGTCATGGGGTCAGTGGAGCGTCACGGGGTCAGTGGAGCGTCACGGGGTCAGTGGCACGTTACGGGGTCAGAGGAGCGTCACGGGGTCAGTGGAGCGTCACGGGGTCAGTGGCACGTTACGGGGTCAGTGGAGCGTCACGGGGTCAGTGGAGGGTCACGGGGTCAGTGGAGCGTCACGGGGTCAGTGGAGCGTCACGGGGTCAGTGGAGCATCACGGGGTCAGTGAAGCGTCACGGGGTCAGTGGAGCGTCACGGGGTGAGTGGAGCGTCACGGGGTCAGTGGAGCGTCACGGGGTCAGTGGCGCATCGCGGGGTCAGTGGAGCGTCACGGGGTCAGTGGAGCGTCACGGGGTCAGTGGAGCGTCACGGGGTCAGTGGAGCGTCACGGAGTCAGTGGAGCATCACGGGGTCAGTGAAGTGTCATGGGGTCAGTGGAGCGTCACGGGGTCAGTGGAGCGTCACGGGGTCAGTGGCACGTTACGGGGTCAGAGGAGCGTCACGGGGTCAGTGGAGCGTCACGGGGTCAGTGGCACGTTACGGGGTCAGTGGAGCGTCACGGGGTCAGTGGAGCGTCACGGGGTCAGTGGCACGTTACGGGGTCAGTGGAGCGTCACGGGGTCAGTGGAGTGTCATGGGGTCAGTGGAGCGTCACGGGGTCAGTGGAGCGTCACGGGGTCAGTGGAGCGTCACGGGGTCAGTGGCACGTTACGGGGTCAGTGGAGCGTCACGGGGTCAGTGGAGTGTCATGGGGTCAGTGGAGCGTCACGGGGTCAGTGGAGCGTTACGGGGTCAGTGGCACGTTACGGGGTCAGTGGAGCGTCACGGGGTCAGTGGAGTGTCATGGGGTCAGTGGAGCGTCACGGGGTCAGTGGAGCGTCACGGAGTCAGTGGAGCATCACGGGGTCAGTGAAGTGTCATGGGGTCAGTGGAGCGTCACGGGGTCAGTGGCACGTTACGGGGTCAGTGGAGCGTCACGGGGTCAGTGGAGCGTCACGGGGTCAGTGGAGTGTCATGGGGTCAGTGGAGCGTCACGGGGTCAGTGGAGCGTCACGGGGTCAGTGGAGCGTCACGGGGTCAGTGGCACGTTACGGGGTCAGTGGAGCGTCACGGGGTCAGTGGAGTGTCATGGGGTCAGTGGAGCGTCACGGGGTCAGTGGAGCGTTACGGGGTCAGTGGCACGTTACGGGGTCAGTGGAGCGTCACGGGGTCAGTGGAGTGTCATGGGGTCAGTGGAGCGTCACGGGGTCAGTGGAGCGTCACGGGGTCAGTGGCACGTTACGGGGTCAGTGGAGCGTCACGGGGTCAGTGGAGTGTCATGGGGTCAGTGGAGCGTCACGGGGTCAGTGGAGCGTTACGGGGTCAGTGGCACGTTACGGGGTCAGTGGAGCGTCACGGGGTCAGTGGCACGTTACGGGGTCAGTGGAGCGTCACGGGGTCAGTGGAGTGTCATGGGGTCAGTGGAGCGTCACGGGGTCAGTGGAGCGTTACGGGGTCAGTGGCACGTTACGGGGTCAGTGGAGCGTCACGGGGTCAGTGGAGTGTCATGGGGTCAGTGGAGCGTCACGGGGTCAGTGGAGCGTCACGGGGTCAGTGGCACGTTACGGGGTCAGTGGAGCGTCACGGGGTCAGTGGAGTGTCATGGGGTCAGTGGAGCGTCACGGGGTCAGTGGCACGTTACGGGGTCAGTGGCACGTTACGGGGTCAGTGGAGCGTCACGGGGTCAGTGGAGTGTCATGGGGTCAGTGGAGCGTCACGGGGTCAGTGGAGCGTTACGGGGTCAGTGGCACGTTACGGGGTCAGTGGAGCGTCACGGGGTCAGTGGAGTGTCATGGGGTCAGTGGAGCGTCACGGGGTCAGTGGAGCGTTACGGGGTCAGTGGAGCGTTACGGGGTCAGTCGCGTGGAATTGCGGTCTCGTTGACTCCGTTCCCACGGCTCCGGTGACGGACACGGAGGTGGGTGGAGGGGTTGCACTTATTTGTGTATTTGTGCTTCATGCCAACGCAGCCCTCTCTCTTCATTGATTCTGTTCGCAGGATGCAGCGTCCGTATCACGTGCCGCTCGGGGTCTCGGTCGGGTGACACGGAGGCTCTGTATTGGGTGACACCAGTGCTGTGTGTTAAATTGGTCAGGGGTTCTGTATCGGATGGTACGGAAGCTCTGTATTAGGTGACACGTGCTGTGTGTTAAAGCAGCTTCCAGCTGCTGTGACGCCCGGCTGATTTCTCCGCTGAAAATCACCGAAGTTTAGAAATCGCACAAATACAAAGGTCTCCCATGTAGGCATATGGACCGTTGGGGCAAGTGTTACGCCGACAAAGGACTGACTTCGCTCTGGAGGTGGTGGGTGGTCAGCACCGTGCCCTGTGCTGTTGTCTCCCAAGTGCCAATGATTTTCACACGTCGCACCAGCTCATAATTTAAGGCTGGGTCAACCTAGGGGAGGCTCGGGACCAGTTCAGATGTACGCCACTGATGTTGGTCGCGAGTGTAAATCTCACTCGGATCACCGTCTTCATAGCCACTGCGTCGCCCCTTCCTAACACAAGGCACAGATCCCCAATGTAGCCTCAACAGATGTATGGGTCAAGTGCTCTCAGCGAGTGCCTTTGCAGACCGGCACGGCACACGTGATGGTGGGTGGCTAACACTGCCCCTGACCGCCTTTGTCTCCTTAGTGCTTGTGTTTAGACACCGTATCATAACCCCTGAGCAATCTAACATGATTGCTTGCTAAATGTTTCTATTTGGTGTTTGAACATCTTGACACCGGTTTTATTGCCAGAAAGGGTAAAAACTCTTCTTATTATTTCATACACCGTATCAGATATTCATTTAAGGCTCAGTGGATCTAGAGGAGGCCCAGGAGCGATTTAGGCACACTCACTCACACAGACATGCAAAGCACGAGACAGCTGCATTGCATGGGCGTACCTATTAACTATTATTATTATTTTACCAGGTAAGGCACACTGAGCTTCTTCTTGGTTCTTTCGGTAACGTCACGTAGAATGGAAATAATAAAATAATAAAAATAAAACATAAAATAATATAAGCACACTGAGCTACGTAGCTTTTTCAGAAGCGACCTGGACATCACAAATGATTGCACAACGAAATGGCTCATCGTCATTGTGTGGACATTTATAGCAGAAAATCCACACGACCACAGGGAGAACATGCACACTCCAAATAGACAGCAGGCATGAGGGTCGGGATCAAACCTACGACCTCCTGTACACCAGGCGAGGTAGTTCACATCTCAGATTCCCTTTCGAGTCTACGTGCATGTACGTACCTATGTTGAACCTATTTTGCACCGTACGTAGCCAACCGTGCTAATCGGAGGTTGCGGGGGAAGGACACCAAACTAACACGCAGAAATCAGTTCTAAAGAAATGAGTTTTAAATTTAGATTTAAAAGTGCGCAGCTCCCAGTGGCTTCCTCACATCGGAAGGTAGAACGTTCCGGACGGCCGCCGCAGTAGCGCGTCTGAAAGCGCCGCGCGATGTGGTGAACGTCCATTGTCCGACGAGCGGAGTTTGCGCGGCGATGCTTTATGCTCATTGGATGAGATCGGCGAGGTATGCGATGTGCGGTGCAATCGATCGCTCTGCTCTGCAGGCTTTAGGAACGCGTTCGTCGTACGCGGCTTGGCTTCCTCCTCGCCTTGTACCCGGTTCTACCACGACGTTCATGCCGCCACCTTGCCGCTCGACCTTGCATGGTGGTTGTTGGGTTGCGTCCTCCGTGGTGCTTGTTGTTGTTGTTGTAGCTGTTGTTGTTGTTGTTGTAGCTGTTGTTGTTGTAGCTATAACCAGGGTCCCCATTTTAAACGTGCAATTATTGCCCCAATGGGCTTTCACCTGTGCCACAAAAAAAACCAAGCTAACCTACGTGTGCATGTTGAACTTCTTTCGCACCCTACATAGCCAACCCGTGCCGATCGGAGGATAGCGCTAACCTAACCCTGACGGGATATGACCGTGCGACACCATGACCCCTCGCTCCGTTACATCTCACTCCGTGACCTCTCATTCCGTGACCCCTCGCTCCGTGACCCCTCGCTTCGTGACCTCTCGCTCCTTTGACCTCTCGCTCCGTGACCTCTTGCTCCGTGACCTCTAGCTCCTTGACCCCTCACTCCGTGACCTCTAGCTCCTTGACGCCTCGCTCCGTGACCCCTCGCTTCATGACCCCTCGCTCCATGACCTCTCGCTCCGTGACCCCTCGCTTCATGACCCCTCGCTCCATGACCTCTCGCTCCGTGACCCCTCGCTCCGTGACCTCTCGCTCGATGACCTCTCGCTCCGTGACCTCTGGCTCCGTGACCTCTCCGTGACCTCCTCCCCTTCCCCCGGCTGTCGCCCTCAGCTGCAGCAGGTGACCCATCTGCTGGAGTCGGTCTGGGCGGCCTACGGACTCACCTGGGACACCGTGTGCCTGTGAGTTTCCGCGCCTCTCTCGCCGTGTCGGCCCTCGCCCCAGCGACTCGCCCCAACATCGCCACTGGAGAGACAAAGGCGGCCTGGCGTGGTGCTGGCCACCCACTCCCCTTGTGTGCCGTGCCGGTCTTTTAAGGTGCTCGCTAACGGCACTTGTCCCAACAGTCTGTCAGTAGACTACACGGGGGATCTTTGTCTTTATCTTTGTCCGCGCCAGCAGTGCCCGCAAGGCGGAGGCAGCGGAAGCCGCGATGCTGCCGCTCACCATGAGGCTGGGGGACGCCGCGGCACAGCTCTGCCTCCCTCTCCCCGGCGGTACCTCCTTCACTCGCTCCACCACTCGCCCCACCACTCGCTCCACCACTCGCCCCACCACTCGCTCCGCCACTCGCCCCACCACTCGCCCCACCACTCGCCCCACCACTCGCTTCACCACTCGCCCCGCCACTCGCCCCGCCACTCGCCCCGCCACTCACCCCGCCACTCGCCCCGCCACTCGCCCCGCCACTCGCCCCGCCACTCGCCCCACCACTCGCCCCGCCACTCGCCCCACCACTCGCCCCGCCACTCGCTCCGCCACTCGCTCCGCCACTCGCCCCGCCACTCGCCCCGCCATTCGCCCCACCACTCGCCCCACCACTCGCCCCACCACTCGCCCCACCACTCGCTCCACCACTCGCCGCACCACTCGCCCCGCCACTCGCTCTGCCATTCGCCCCACCACTCGCCCCACCACTCGCCCCACCACTCGCCCCACCACTCGCTCCACCACTCGTCCCACCACTCGCTCGCTCCACCACTCGCTACACCGCTCGCTTCGCCGCTCGCTCCGCCACTCGCTCCGCCACTCGCTCCACCACTCGCTCCACCACTCGCCCCACCACTCGCCCCACCACTGCCACTCGCTCCACCACTGCCACTCGCTCCACCGCTTGCTCCACCACTCGCTCCACCACTGCCACTCGTTTCGCCACTCGCTCCACCACTCGCCCCACCACTCGCTCCACCACTCGCCCCACCATTCGCCCCACCACTCGCCCCACCACTCGCTCCGGGGTAGCTGAGTGGAGTCGTCCACTCGTTCCGCCCGTGAACTCGTGCTTTTTTTTGGGTAGCTGAGTGCCTTTGATGTTTTGGTGACCGAGGTCACTCTTGATTCCAAAGAACACAGGATGAGATGTTACTATCCTTTGTGCAAGCACTTCCAAGAGTTCATGAACAGTGAGCCTGGTGAAATTTGGGGAGCGCATCGTCAGTAGTGACCCTTTGGTTCCTAGGGTGTTTCGGCCTTTCACACTATACACCCTCCCCAAAGGCGGCCAGCGACAGGATGATCAATCCTACGCTTGCGTCCCATTCCCAATTAGTCATAGGAGTTGCCTTGTTGTTGGTAGCCAACATCCCATGGGACTATGCATGGCAGGGGCGTCCTCCTCCCTGAGTCAAGCATTGTTGACTGCATACCTCCTGGCCCTCTCACTTTGAGGCCCAGCTGGGGTCTTTCCTCTTCATCCAGAGCCACTGACTCTTGAGTTCTCACCTGGACAATCTCAACACTTTAACTCCCCCATTCACGTATCATCTCACGTTAGCCACTCATTCACTTCCCCACTCACCCACTTACTCACCCGCTCGATGATTCACCCACTCACCCACTCACTCACTCACTCACCCAATCACTCACTCACTTACCCACTCAGTCACTCACCTGCCTTCTCACTCACCCTATCACCAACTCCCTCACTCATTCACCCACCCACTGACCAACTCATTCACCAACTCACTCACTCACTCACCCACTCACTCATTCACCCACCCACTTACCCACTCACTCACTCACCCACTCGCTCTTTCACCCACTTATTCGCCGACTCACTCATCAGCTCACTTCACCTACTGACCCATTCACTTACCATTCACTCACCTACTCAATGATTCACCCACTCCCCCACTCACTTACCTACTTATTCACGTACACATTCACCCACCCACTCAATCACCCACTCATCCTATCACACACTCACTGACTCACTCACTCACTGACTCACCCACTCATTCACCCACTTGCTCACACGCCCACTCATTCATTCACCCACCCACTTAACCACGCATTCACCTACTCACCCTATCACCCACTCATCCACTCATTTAACCACCCAATCGCCCATTCACTCAATCGACCACTCCAACTTACCCACGCATTCACCCACTTACTCATTCACCCACCCATGTACCCACTCACTCATTCACTCACTAACTTAGCCACTCATTCACCCACTCACTCCCTCATTCACCGACCCACTTACCCACTCATTCACACACTCACCCACTCACCCATTCACCCACTCATTCAACCACTCGCTCACTCGCCAACTTACTCATTCACCCACTTACCCACTCAATCACCCACTCAATCACTCACCCACTTACCCTATCACCCACTCACCCACTCATTCGCTTACTCACTCATTCACCCACCCACTCACCCACTCATTTACCCACTCACTCGCCCACTCAATCACCTACTCCAACTTACCCACACATTCACCCACTCACTCGCCCACTCAAATCGTTCATTCACTCACTCACTCCTGCGGTGGCCTTGAGACTCCCCCGCCCGGTCAACGCGAACCCAACCCCTCGCCCTGTCGCCCTCTCGCCCGTGCCGACTGACGGCCGCACACCGCAGGCTTCAAGAGCCTGCAGTGCACGCTGGGGTACCGCAGCGTGCCCCTGCACTCGTTCCTGCTCATGGTGGACCAGGGGATGCTGCAGCTCACCGACTCCTTCGTGCAGAGACTCTTCCACGGTGACGCTCGCCGCAGTGGCCCCTCCAGCACAGGGAGTGGGGGCTGGGGGGGTGCTGTGGGAGTCGAGTGGCATCACTCGACTGGGGTTGCACACACGCAGGGGTTGTCACCTCACCCAACGCCCCCCCCCCCATCGCCCCACCCCCTTAAACCCCCACCCCCCCATTCCCCCACTCCCCATTGCCCCACCCCCCACGCATCAATCCCCATCGCCCCACCCCCCCCACCCCCTTGCCATCGTGCCAAGACTTGGCAGGACCCTCCTGAGACAGAGACTTGAGACTCAGCGAGGCTTTCCGGGGTAAAGAAAAGATGATGGCGCAGCCCTGCAATTTCTCGCACACACCTCTGCTGGTGGAAGGGCTAGAGGGGCCTCCAGAGAGCCCCTCTGGAGGGCAGTTTTGGCCTACTCTTCTACGCTGGCCAGACGTCTTGGAAGACGTGCGGCGTCTCGGTGGCGAGATGTCCACTGCCTCACCTGGTGTACAGGAGGTCGTGGGACCCTGAAGCGGATTTTTCCCTGGCTCTTCCGGTTTTTTCCTCTCTACATTTAGAGCATTCGGCTGCTATGAATGCCCACGATGATGATGATGAGCCCCTTCCGTGGAGCATTCATTTGTGATAGCCGGGGTCGCTTCTTATAAAAAGAGCTGCGTAGCAGCTCAGTGGGGCCTTACCTGGAAAACAACAACATAAGAAGTGGTTGTAACAGTAAATAGAGTCCCGAAGCTTGACCCCACCACACACGCCACGGCCGATCACAGTGCGGCGGTGGCGTGAACCCCCTCACGCCGCTGGCTGGACGGCGGTGGCGGCGGTGGCGGCGAGAGGGATTTGCGAAGGCCGCCACCGTGAGACCGAGGAGGCCCCCGCCACTGGAGAGGCGGCCACGGCGGCCTCAATAGGAGCTTGCAAACAGCCTCCGAGGCCAAGCGAATGATGCGGCTCCCCTTGCCGTCTGTGTTTTCGGCGGGCCATAGCGCAGTAATTGATAGGTTGTTGTTGTTGTCCACAATCGTCTGGTTTTTGTTTTGTTTGCGCTTGCAGACTTGGACGACAGCCCGAAGAACGAGCAGGCGAAGTTTGCGGTTCTGTCCCGGCTATCACAGGTGAGCGGGGGGGGGGGGGGGCTGTAGAGCCCCTACACTTGACGGGGGACCTCGCGGCAGCCCGGAGAGCCGTGAGACTCACGGTGGTGGTGTTGACGATGATGATGTTGACGACGACGATGATGTTGATGATGATGGTGTTGACAACGATGATGTTGTTGACGACGATGATGTTGACGACGACGATAATGTTGATGACGATGATGTTGATGATGATGGTGTTGACAACGATGATGTTGTTGACGACGATGATGTTGACGACGACGATGTTGATGATGATGGTGTTGACAACGATGATGTTGTTGACAACGATGATGTTGTCGACGACGATGATGTTGACGACGATGATGTTGACGACGACGATGTTGATGATGATGGTGTTGACAACGATGATGTTGTTGACGACGATGATGTTGACGATGATGACGATGTTTTCCGGGCAGCCCCAGGCCGACGGGGTCTACCAGCAGTGGGAGAGCCCGGCCGCGTCGTTCAGCCTGGCGCAGCGCTACGCCGCACGGCTGCATGCGCTGGGCCCCTGGGCGAGGAAGGTAAATCCCCACGGCGCTCGTGCCAGGCTAGGTGCACCTCGAGGCAACGTGGAGCGTGCAAGGCTCGCCGCCGGCAGGAGGTCACGGGACGCACCCAGCCGCTGTGCGGTCGACCGACCGAGACGGCCGGCAGACGCGCCCAGCTGTGCGTCGTCAACGTCGCGCTGGTTTTAGTTTACCGAGAGTCGTTCGCTCGGCTCGTGTAGAGCGGCCGCGACTACGGTGGCGCGGGGGGCCTGCCGCGTGATCGCCCCCTGACCCTTTCCCCCCGTGCCCGCGCCAGGACGACGCCGCCGCTGCCGCCGCCGCCGCCCCCGAGAAGGAGTCCTCGCAGAGCGACTTCCTGCCGCTACGCAGCTTCATCGACCGCCTGCTGAACATCGAGCGGCAAGGTGGGGGGGGGGGGGGGCGGGGATGCTGGGGGGGGGGGACTGGGTCCGGGCTCGGAGATGAGACGCGGACGAGGAGGAGGATGAGGAGTGCCGCCGGCGTCTGGCCTTGGCCATGCCGTGCGTGGACGCGCCAATAGCAGATCCCTGATCTACGTTGTGTCGCTCACACGTTGTCACCTCACTAGCAACACCGCCACCCGATTAAGCGTCGCCTTCAAACCCACACATGCGTCGCCGCTAGCGCCGTCGCCTCTCAGCCGTCCGCCACCACCACCGTGCCACCACCACCGTGCCACCACCACCGTGCCACCACCACCGTGCCACCACCACCGTGCCACCACCACCGTGCCACCACCACCGTGCCACCACCACCTTGCCACCACCACCGTGCCACCACCACCGTGCCACCACCACCGTGCCACCACCACCGTGCCACCACCACCGTGCCACCACCACCGTGCCACCACCACCGTGCCACCACCACCGTGCCACCACCACCGTGCCACCACCATCGGGCCACCACCACCGTGCCACCACCACCGTGCCACCACCACCGTGCCACCACCACCGTGCCACCACCACCGTGCCACCACCACCGTGCCACCACCCTGTACGCCGCTTGGATGTATTACGTCGTTTCGACATTCGTCGTTGTAAACCGGCGTGTTACAGTACCATGCTGATGTGTGGCCCCATCGCCCCCCCCATCGTCCCTCTCCCCCATCACACCCCCGGCCCCATCGCCCCCCCCCCCCCCCCCATCGCTCCCCCCTCCCCTCTTTCCTGTCCCTCCCCCCTTGGAGGCACCGCTGCATTGCGGCAGCCGGGTCGTTGTGTCCATCCCCGTGGTTGACTCTGTGGTGGTGGATCCACGAGGGGGGGGGGAGCGCGATGGGGGCAGCCACACCCCCCCCCCATCAAACCCTAGCAAAGTCGTGCGCTGTTGACATTTCCAGAGTAAACACTTTGTCGATATTCGTCTCGGCTCGGCTCAGGCTCGGCTCCTTAGCCGTGCTCGGGATGTCTCGGGAGCCGAGATCGAGCCGGCTGACTCGCTCGCTCGTCTCTGGGAGCCACCGTGCGGCTCGAGCCTCAGCTGAGCGGTGAACGTGGTCGAGTTTGTTTTGTAATTCATTCACGTCAGGAGCCACTGTTTAAACAAACACGCTTGAATGTTCGGACTGCCCCTCCACCTCCCCCCCCACCTCCCCCCACGCAGTGGCCGGCCACGAGCAGGAGGTGGCGGGCTGCGTCGACGCTCGCTTCGTGGAGGAGGTGGCACTGAAGCAGTCGCTCGGCGCAGCCAAGAGGCGCTCCTCCCCCCGGTGAAACCCGGCGGCGGCGGTGGCGGTGGCGGTGGAGGCGGCGGTGGTGACGGTGGCGGTGTGGTGGCGGTGTGGTGGCGGTGTGGTGGCGGCGGTGGTGACGGTGGCGGTGTGGTGGCAGTGGCGTTGTGGTGGCAGTGGCGGTGCAGTGTGGTGGCGGTGTGGTGGCGGTGTGGTGGCATTGTCGGTGGCGGTGACGGTGGCGGTGATGGCGGTGACGGTGGCGGTGGGTTCCACCACGAGCCCAGCCCACCGCGGTCGGTAACCCCCGGGCGGAGAGGGCATCTCGGCCCCCCTCAATCTCGCCCCCCCCACCCGGCCCACCCCCACCCCTCCCTTTGCCTTCCCACCGCCTCGCCCCTCACCAACAGCCGGCGGCGGCAATGGCCGGGAGGGTTACCGCTTGGCCGCTGGCTGGCGGGGGTGCTCTGCGCATTAAGTCTCTGACAGCTGTCCCTATGGGCACGACGAGTCGGCTGACTCTGCACCGTGGCCTGCACAAGCCCCCAGGCGTTTTGTTGCGCGTCGGCTGACGAGGGCCCCCACCCCATTGAGCCGAGCGGTGGCGCCGTTACCAGGGCTGGCGCAGGCCCACGAGCGCCAGCAGTGGCGGCAGTCACAGAAGATCGCAATGGGGTGGAGGGAACGAGGGAATGGGCAAAACTCGCGAGAACACAACGACAAGAGCGACACATCGTTTAGACGAGAACAAATCCCAGAACGGAATGCACAATAACGGTGCTTGCAATACAAATGTCACACAGAGGCAAACACGTCCCGTCACAGACGCGTGTGGATTTATTAGAATCACAATCTTAATTTGTGACTGCGGGAGGAGCAGGAGAAATCCGATGAGCTATGAAGCTCTTATTCACAGATGTCTAGTAGGCGCCACGGGATCTGAGAGTAACAGCGCAAACAAACACACTGCACAACACAATGATAGCAGTGCAACGTTTCGACGAAAAAAGACACTCAGTAAATATAAATACAGGGACTCCTCCACTTACGAACAAGTCAGGCTCCAGAAGTCTCTTCGGAAGTTGATTTATTCGTAAGTCCAACTTTACTCCTCTCGATTCCAAACGTGGTGTACGGCATGTACACTAGACACGGGGAATGACGTTCAAAGTTTTATAATCTCCTGTAGATGTAGATGCCACTGGTTCTTCACGTTCTGCAGATGTAGATGCCACTGGTTCTTCAAGCTCTGCAGATGTAGATACCACTGGTTCTTTACGTTCTGCAGATGTAGATACCACTGGTTCTTTACGTTCTGCAGATGTAGATGCCACTGGTTCTTTACGTTCTGCAAATGTAGATGCCACTGGTTATTCACGTCCTGCAGATGTAGATGCCACTGGTTCTTCAGGTTCTGCAGATTTAGATTCCACTGGTTCTTCACGTTCTGCAGATGTAGATGCCACTGTTTCTTCACGTTCTGCAGATGTAGATGCCACTGGTTCTTCACGTTTTGCAGATGTAGATGCCACTGGTTCTTCACGTTCTGCAGATGTAGATGCCACTGGTTCTTCGCGTTCTGCAGATGTAGATGCCACTGGTTCTTCACGTTCTGCAGATGTAGATGTCATTGGTTCTTCACGTTCTACACATGTAAATGCCACTGGTTATTCACGTCCTGCAGATGTAGATGCCACTGGTTCTTCAGGTTCTGCAGATTTAGATGCCACTGGTTCTTCACGTACTGCAGATGTAGATGCCACTGTTTCTTCACGTTCTGCAGATGTAGATGCCACTGGTTCTTCACGTTTTGCAGATGTAGATGCCACTGGTTCTTCACGTTCTGCAGATGTAGATGCCACTGGTTCTTCGCGTTCTGCAGATGTAGATGCCACTGGTTCTTCACGTTCTGCAGATGTAGATGCCATTGGTTCTTCACGTTCTGCAGATGTAGATGTCATTGGTTCTTCACGTTCTACACATGTAGATGCCACTGGTTCTTAACGTTCTGCAGATGTAGATGCCACTGGTTCCTCACGTTCTGCAGATGTAGATGCCACTGGTTCCTCACGTTCTGCAGATGTAGATAACACTGGTTCTTCACATTCTGCAGATGTAGATGCCACCACCATCTGTTGCACGGCGGTTGAACTTACGACTCTCAGTCCGAATGGGCAACTGGACATACAGACAGGTTTGTTGTATCTTTGAAAGTGTGTAAGTCAAGTGTTCGTAAGTAGAGGAGTCAATGTAAAGATAAATAAAGTATATGTCCGACTTTTCAACACTAAGTGAAATTTTGGGGCAAAGCAGCAAAGCGACAACAACGCACAGTCCCTAGATAAAATGACACTTTTAAATTGACCTACCGATGCGTGAGTAACGATCAAAGTCACAAAGCACATTGGCAAATGTGGTTGTCTCCAGCACTGATCATCTGCTTTCGGATATTTCGTTTGTTCTGTTTAGTGTTTTTGTCCTTCCCGCGCACCTCTGATTGGCACGGTTGGCTACATGAAGTGAACAAAAAGCTCAACATACATATACACACAAATACGTAACATATATTTTGATGGAAGATTTACGATATTCTTGGGTCTTTCGGTAAAGTCACGTAGACTTTACCGAAAGACCCAATGATATGAATTCCTGCAGTCACGAAAGCGTTAAGTCAAGATTTACGATGTTCAGGGAGGCAACGAGGTTGTCCCAAAACGTTGGTGCTGCAACGGCAAAGGCTTTGTGTCACCTATTCAGGGATAGTTAAATGTCTATTAGATAGATGCCTTAGGTTTCTTGGGTTTGACAATGGCGCGAATGAATTAGTTAAGTTTAGCGCAGATTTTACAATCAGGATTCTATGGATAAACAGGGCCCAAAGTAGATTTATTCTTGCATCAAGTGATGTGAGATTTGGCTTTTAAGCAGAGGTCACAATGGAGGGTCCTGTATGGTACACCCTGTGCAAATCGAACAGCAGAATGAAAAAAGCCGGCTTAGTCTGTTCAGTGATTCATTAGGAGCTGATCTGTAAGCAGCGTCACAGTAGTCGAACAGTCGGAGATTGATAGCTTCAACAATTTTCAGTCCATTCGAATAGGGAAACTATGTTTCTGTATGAAAACTACATTTTATGTTTCATTTTATTTGCCATGTGATCGATACGGGGTTGGAATGTCCGTTATGAATCAATCAGTAAACCCAAGCATTTGCAGCACTCCGTTTGTTCAATGATGTTGTTTTTGATATCCGTAATATGTGATTTGACCAGGCAAGGTATTTGAACAGGTAAGGCCCCACTGAGATATACAGATCTTGTTCAGGCGTGACCTGGCCACAAATGATAGCTCAACGAAGTGGGCTTATCATCATCACGTTGATATTTATAGCAGCCAAATACTCGAAACGCGTGATGTTGATCCTAAATGTGTGTGGGGGGGGGGGGGGGGGAACCGGAGGTCCCAGAGAGAAATCCACACGACCACGAGGGGAGAGAGAGACACACACGCAAACTCCAAATATGCAGCAGGGTCGGGATCGCACCCACGACCTCATGTATACCAGGCGAGCTAGTTAACATCTCGCCACCCTGGCACCCCAAGAAGGCCCTGCAACCAGACCAAGTTCGCTATCTCTTTATTATATTATATGACTGGGATTCGTCTGCTAGGAGGGGGCGATGATTGCTGCTGCGTGTAAGTTTTAGTAATTTTTACTAAAATACAAATTAAACTATTTTTTGTGAATAATTTTTTTACTAATTGTTATTTCACCAGGGAAGGCCCCGCTGAGCCACGTAGCACTTTTACAGAAGCGACCTGGCCATCACAAATGTCAGCTCGACCAAGCGGCTTGTCATCATCATCAGCATCCCGAGGACATGTGAAGCAGCCAAATACTGCTGGGTCTAATGACGGCCAATGCCGCGTCTGCCACGGGAGTTGTGTGACCATACTTCACCATGCTGGCGCGAGCCGCGTGGTGCAAGCTGGACCTGTGGGGGAGGGCGGTTCGGAGATCTCGCCATAGCAGAGGTTTTTTTTTAAATCCTTTATATTAAGTTCGCTTGCTTGCTTGCTTGCGTGCTTGCTTGCTTGCGTGCTTGCTTGCTTGCTTACGACCGTGCAAATCTTTCGGTCGTTTTTTAACCCACTTCCCGTGATCCAATCGAGCTGACATTTTCCACACAGACTCGTTGTGACAGACAATTAATGTTCGTGAAAAAAAATGCAAAAATGTAACACTGTTTAGGCAAAAAAATTGTATTTTACATTTATTCAAATAGAACTTTGGCTGAACGTCACAGTATAGGAGCCCAGAGCGTAACCCCTCCACAGGCCGTGGCGGAGTAGCGCAGTTGGTAGCACCCTCACGTCCCATGCCAAAGGTCGCGGGATCGATCCCCGCGTCCTCCACAGGCGAATATATTTTAAATCCTTTATATTAAGTTCGCTTGCTTGCTTAGGACCGTGCAAATCTTTCGCTCGTTTTTTAACCCACTTCCCGTGATCCAATCGAGCTGACATTTTCCACACAGACTCGGTGTGTGTGACAATAAATTTTCGTGAAAATTTTTTTCCAAAATTTTACACTGTTTAGGGAAAACAAATTAAATATTTAATTACCAATTGCTTAATACTGGCAGACAATCATCTGACCCATAGATTGCAGCCATCTCAAGCCAGAGGACGAGAGGACTCTAGCCGCCACGCATATAAAGGATTTAGAGTGAAAAACTTTGTTTTTACGGGTTTACTTGTTATTGGGGGTTAGATCGCGTAAATATAAATGTGTCATTAAACCCTCCACCACCCGACAGCCTATTTGTAAGGGGTTGTCACGTGATCAAAACGTGCCAATAAGTTGCTCGTTCAGTTGTGTGTTGGAGAGTAAACCCACGACAACATTTACAAGTCAAGTAAGGTCCCATGATGTAGCTGCTCACCCCGAGCTATAAACGCCCTGATATTGTCCTTGTCCTGTTCGCCTTCTGGCGTTCTCTGGTCTGACCCTGGTGGTGAGACTAGGCCCTAGAGGAGGCTGTCTCTGGTGTAGGCCAATCTGTTTCAAAGACAATGCCCGTGTATTAATTATCAGAGCATGTTTTTGTTTGCATGTTCACCACAAGTATGTGCGTGGTTAATGCAGACACGATTCCTTGCAAAAGGTTCCCATTTGGTGTTTGAACATCTGAACACAACTGTTTTATTTCCAGAATGGGTAGAACATATCATTATATACAAACAGACTCATCAGGCGACGGCCAGAATGGAGAGACCTCTCGCCACTGATGTTAGCCGTGGCTGGCAATCAAACCCAGCTAGCTGGATGACTAATGGCACGTATTGTCACTGACACTGTTGCCTTGAAAGGGGGAAAGAAGTGTAATATAAATAGGCAACATCTTTGGGACACTTATTTTACGACTATCAAGTTGATGAGAAAAGAGAAAGCGTCACCCTTTAAGGTCCAGAATACCGGTGGAGGTGGAAAGATGTTCAAACGCCGAATAGACAGCCATCACAAGGCATCATCAAGTCTGCATGCAACATACATGCCAGTGGTAAAACATGGACCACACATGTTGTGGTAAAACATGCATTCACCACACATGCTCGTCGAGCAAATTGGATGCTTTGTAATAGGTGTTCTGGCCGCTAATAATTAGGCGTCATAGTGGGCAGCGTCTTGTTGGGGGTGATGGGTGTCATGGGCGAGCACAGACGGAGAGGCCAGCGAGACGGGAGCGAACGGTGCGGTTGGAAAATCCGCACCGCGCACGCATACATCATTGGGGGGGGGGGGAGGGGTGCGTAGTAGAAATATTCATTTGGAGGTACTATATTAGTTCTCACTCGCTTGAATTTGTACTGAATGAGTACTAAATTAGTCCTCGTCCGACGGGTCGGTGAGCCAAAAGCCGCCCTGCCCAGCGCTTGGTTTCAGACGCGAGCAAAATGTCGTTGAGTTCATCCCAACACAAAAAAACGATTTACCCTCGCCAAGGAAGATGGCGCGGTCGTTCATACGCCCATCCCCTGATACACCCAGCCCCTGATACACCCAGCGTGGCCTTGCTCCGCCCCCCCCGGCCACGCCC